CAAAGAATCGTTAAGGAACTGAAGATTATAACCTTCTGAAGGATAATGGAGCCTAAGAAGAAGCTTAGCTTGAGACAAAGCAAAGCTTCCAATAGGAACGTTAACGAAACCAAATCTCTTCATCATCTCTCCCCATATCTCAAACCTCCGATGTCTTTGCTTCCTCTCCGTCGCTTCCGCCGCCACGACATCCATAATCTCCTTACCGAACCACCGTTGCTCTAGGGTTAGTCTCTCTCGGCTATTTGGCGGCAAAGTCGCTTCCAAGGAATCAAATATCGCCACGTAATGATCCAAAGCCTCTGAGAATCTAATCAAGAACGAGTGATCTCCATGATTAGCTTCTCTCTCAGCCATTGTCACGATTCTAGGGTTTAAGCTCTTGATCACTGTTAAGAAGTGACCGATCAAATCTGCATCGTCGTTAAAGAACTTGTAGAGGAAGTGAACACAGTTGACGGCAATGGTCTCTCCTTGTACGGCGGAGAGAGCTAACAATCGGATCTGTAGCAAGAGCCCAGGGAGATCTTCGTCTACGATCACCAGCTTGTGAAACTGGAACTGGAGACCTAAAGAGTTAGCAAACCGGGTTAACCTATCTCCGGTTCGGTTTAATCCGGTTACATCTCGACCGCATCCGGTTATGCGGAGAGATGGTGGTGGACTGTTAGGGCTTGATGACCTCTCTGCTAGGGCTTGCATCAATGGAGGCCACTGAAGTCCTTGTGATATATCTAAATCAAGTATATGTAGAGCTCCATTATCGTTTGTCTCGGTCGCGTCGAGGATCGCCTGGTTCGCCGTTAAATGACCGAACCGAATAAACGGCGTTAGTTGATTCAGCCAAAGATAGTAACAAGACTCGAAGTCAGAGTTGTTGTTCTTGGTCCGAAACAAGAACTGTTCTTTGCACACACTGCTCGTGAACACCGTGGAGTTGGTACTCATAGTCATTTCGTTCGTCGTACACGTGGCAACCGTTGGATCTTGTTCCTGTTGTAGACGGTTGATCCGTAAGGACAAGGCTTTCGTGAAGAGATGGGCGAGTCGCTGGGTGGAGTCGCCGTAAGGAGAAGAGTTGAGGGAGAGGATTGAGAGTAAGTTCCGAGCGGCGGTGAAGTTAGACTGGGAGACGAAATCAGCAGCGGTGAAAAGTAGACGACGGAGGTGATGGGAGGCGGAGGTAGCGGCGGAGGATGAGGAGGAGGAGGCAAGCTGACAAAAAGGAGGAGGAGGAGTCTCGGTGGTGGCATCTTCGGAGGAGGAGCTAGAGGATTTGAAAGAAGTAAGCATTAGAGAAGAAGAAAAAGATGCTTTTGGTTCAAATGATTCGTTTTCTCTCTCGATCAAATGAGTCTTTTTCAATGGTAATAAATAATAGATATTAATTCCCTTTACCTGAAGGTATATTGCTTGTAGTATTATTCAAATATTATATATAAATCCACACTTGTACACACATAAATATATAACATAAATTTTATGGATAGAGATGAAGATGGACCGACCAAGCAATTCAAGGGTCCATGAGAATCCTCATCAAAGCTCATTTTAGGGTTTTAATTATTATAAAAAGTTTACTATTATCACACGTAGCTTAATAACTTCTTTTTCTCTATGAAATACTTAGCTTTTAGTTTTGTGTAGTTTCGGTTCATAATCTCTCCAATAAAAATATTAGAGATGAGTTTACAAAAGGTGAATCATTACACAATATTAAGGCTTAAAATATATCATGTAGTTTAATACTTTATTATTTCATGTGTTTTTGGCATGCAAGGACTTTATCATCTCCTGTTTTGGTTTCAAATTCGGTTAATATATATATTTAGGACTACTCTTTGCAGCAAAGGAATCTATTTCATTTGTTCATGGACGTGCACTAAATAAAACAAATAGTTACTACTATATATATACCAATAAACAATTTAGATATTAATTAAATAAAAAAGCACTAAAAAAAGATTATTATACATTAAAAGTTAAGACAGTTCTACATATCGGTCGTATAAATTATATATATCTGCGTTCACACGTCTTCGTCGACAAGGATATATATATTTGAAAGAAAAAAATTGTGCGGTGGATCGTGGGAGATGTCCCACTATGCTAATTTGATTATATGGGTTTTTTTGCAGGAATTATGCTCATAGGTTCCAAATATTTAGATTAGATGCGTAAATTGGGAATTCTCGTTGGAGATTCTTCCGATGCCAACTTACGAGATTTAGACAATATATAGTTTTTGCTTAATTACAAATATAAGAAGAATAAGACAACAACAACTACTGTAATAATACTACAAGTTGTAATTTTTAGATGAAGGAATCTGAAAAAAATCTCGGGATGTACAAAGAAAGAGAAGTATGTAGCTTTGCTTGCAAAATAGAAAAGCTATGCAAACCCCCAAAATTGCTAATTATTACACCTTTTTCACTTATTGAAATTACCAAAGTGGTAATGCTGCAAAAAAGATCTCTCCTCCTCTCACCCTTTCAAGTTAAAAGGATCCTCTCTTTCTCTCACTCACTATATTATTATTGTGTATCTATGGGATTGCCTCTACAATTAGAGAGCATCTTTATTGCTCAGTTACTCTCGTTTCTTCTTTGTATACTATAAATACGAAGCATCTTATCGCATAATAAATGCATTTACATACCCTTTTATTTAATATAAAATGCTACTTACATACTTCCATCAACGAGAAAGATGCTTTCAAATTTCAAGATTTTATAAACCGTTTGGTGAGTCCTTTTTTCTTTTTCTTTTTGGTTCATCTAACCGTTTGGTGAGTTGTTCGATAAGTACCTGAACTATATCCAATTATCCATTGATAAGTTTTGTATATAACTCCATAATGTGTGTTTCCAAAGATATACCTATATTCAACTTATGTTTAAAGCTTATATGATCAAAGCTTAGCTTATGTATGCTACAAAGAAATTATATATGTCAGACAACTAATTCGCCGACATATAACACTAGCATATTAAAACTTGAATTATAACACAAGATAGACTCTTAAGTTGGTTATTATTATTATATATATAAAAAGAAGGTATGAAAAGAGAGCATCTCCAAGTTGGGATCCAAGTCAAATCAACTTTTAATACAAAAGAATAGTAGCAATTATATAATTAAAAGTAATAAGAAATAAATAGTGTATACAACATATACATTAATTAAGGAGCCGGTAGAGAAAGAACAGTAGCCGTGAATAAGGACAAAGGAGATGGATGTGCCTTTTAGCCTGGATAACACATAGCAATGATCCCATACCAGTCTTTTGTTTGATTGCACGACAAGTTTAAGCAGTTTCTTTCTTTTGACAAGTCCTTTCGATTATATTATGATGAGTTACTAGTATTATCATGTAATTTGACTAAACAAAACCATCATATCAAATCATCCACGTTAACCAATTTTATAATTGTTTAACGTATAACATGCACCATATATACATATATATACAGAGATGCTTAATCTACTCAAAAACTGGATTAGTAGCTTTCTAGGATTATATGAAATTCTCTTTGACGAACGCGACAATAACTAACTACTAGGTAATATAACCTAAAATTCACAAACAAAAGTTACAAGTATTGTTATGGATAAATCATATAATACAAACACTAAATTCTTATGAGAGCAAAAACGTAAAATTGATTCATCAATCATCGTATACAAAATAAAAATAAAAAATGTAAAAAATGAATAAAAAGAAAGAATGAGAAGAAGCACGCAAAGAAATAAATGAAGGAAGGGAGAGGGCAGCAAGTTTAACCCAAAAGATTGGACGAAAGGCTGACACACTTTTATTTTTCTCCCTTTCTCACTTTTGGTCTTTTCTTATTTATTTTATTTTTTTACATACGAATAATATGATTAATAATATTTTCTCTTTATCTTTGGTAATATATATATATATAAATAATGGTGGTGCAACGATGGATGGGACATATTGGAATGGGACTTTTCCTTCCTACCCTCTCCTCCTCTACTCCTCTCACTGCCATTTCTATTATTATTATCACTTTGTACGAACATTCTTTCTGTTCCTAATTTTATTTATTTTATTTTTAACAATTAATTACTAGTAGGTTTTATGCATTTATATAAGAAGAAAAAAAAAATATACTTTGTAGTCTTTGTTTTGTTTCGTTTCTCATTTCTCAACAAACCATGATCCCCTAACATTCGTCAATTACATGAAAATATTTACGTAAGGCAAAAACCTTGAGCATCTATCTACTATATATGGAGTATATGAGTTTACAAATTTATCATTCAATCGAAAATATAAAATAAAAGATGCTGATTTGATCCAACGGGAATAGTATATTATACGTGAACCTTTGTAGCAAATGATGATCAATTGAAGATGAGAGAAGATTAAAGGGAGCAGTAGAAGTGGTGGTATACGTGAATGTGTAGTGTAGCACATGACAGGCACGTGCACGTCAAGATCCTTGTCAGCTCCACTCTCTCAACTCTCACCTCATCATCACATAATAATCAATATGTCCCTAACCTATTTCGCCTATCCTTTTTTTTTTTTGCTTTTTTTTTTCTCTCTTTTCATATGATATAAGCTGATCACGCTATTGTCTTTGTAGCCATTTATTTTCCTGCACGATAATCTCATGCAATCCCTGTATCTTTATTTATTTCCTTCTCTCGTCACTTCTCTTGCAGTTTTTTTTTTTTGTATATATATATGATTGGTAGTGCATGCATGAGAATGTGATATTTTGAGGTTTTCAACTATCTGTATATGGCCCACTCACGGCCCAACTTATTCCGGCCCGATACTAGTTAATCAAAAGAAATATGGAGTATTTTTTTTTTTTTGGGCAAAGAAAATATGGAGTATAAGAAAAGAAAATTGAAACATGGATTAATTAAGAACATTAGTTTAAAAGAAGAAGAAGAAGAAGAAGAAGAAGAAGAAGAAGAAGAAGAAGAAGAAGAAGAAGAAGAAGAAGAAGAAGCAAAACCTTAGGGAATAAACATACATACATCTGAATTCATGTACATATGAATAAACAATATCGTTTTAAGTCAAATTAATAACTTCAATTAAATAATCAAAAGACCCAAAAAAAAAACACAGAAAATCAAACTGTCCGGTTCCAAATTGGTCTCAACAAAAGAAAAAACCAAACTCTTTTTTTTTTTTTTGGTTTAAGTAAAAAGCCTCAAAGAAAAAACATTAAATTAGGCTCCGGCGTAAGGGTTAACCTTAGGCTTGCCCTTGACGAGACCACATTGGAGGCTTGTCTCCGGCATGTTGTATTCGTCCCGGAGAGATTTTTCAGGTGACAAGACGCTTGCGTAGAGTTGCTGTCCCAAGTAACGTCTCTCTGAATTCTCTGATCTAATGTTCCACATACCACAGTTGTCGAATGTGAGTAAAATTGCGGCCCAACACTTGGGGTAGACCTGGACTGTGTGTCGGCTCACTGCGTCTAGAAGGTTGTAGTTCTTCCTCTTCTCTGGTGTCCACGTCCCTGGCTCAACCCTTTTTGCACGATGAAAGATTACCAAATTAGGGTTTAAAAATTGGTTACTTGTATTGCAAGAAGAGTATGTAATTTGTTACTTACGCTACAGCGAAGAAGGAATAACCGTCCAAGTGCCAAGACTGGACACTCTTCTCGTGATTCTCGAACACGACTTCGATGAAGGTACGGTGAGTGATGTTAAGAACATTTGGTTCGATCTTGATTGTCTTGATCTGCTCGGGATTTGGGTTGTCCGTGATGATGTTGTACTTGAAAACCTTATCAGCAACGCCGAAGTACTCAGCGAGCTTGAGAGGTGTCTCCGGATCTGTGTGCGAGACCCCACTCATGGCGTATCTCAGCTTTCCATCGACCTTTCCCTGAGTGTTCACGAGCTTGATGGTGCGAGTGATGTTAATCTTTCCGTAGTGGTACGATCCTTGTGGGTTAGGTCTAGCGGCACTGGCTGTCAAGTTCCACCTGAAAGAACGGAACTGGTTCAAAGACCAAGCCCATCCAACTGGGGCTGCGGGTAGCTGAGAAGAGGCAGGACCTTTGCCTCCCTCGTAGCGGAGCAACCCTGTGGTTGTCAAAGGCTTCTTCAAGAACCTTGTGGAAGCAACCATGTAGTAATCTTTAGCTTCCTGGTTTGCCGTGACGATCACACCGAAGCACTGACCGACATGGACGTCTAGTGAGTCATAGTCGTTTTGTAGGACGTGTGAGCCTTCCATCTCGACAAGCTTCATTTTGTGGTTTTGAATCCTGAAGTTGAGAGATGTCTTGAGACCCACGTTGCAGATCCGGACTCTGTAGGTTTTCCCTGGCTTCAAGGTGAAAAGAGGCTTGTCAGACCCGTCGGTTTTCCCAGATTTACCATTGATGAGAATGCCATCTGGGCGGCCAAGAGTGCGACCACTGTCGAGGAACTTCTTGAGCTGAGTGTGGCTTTTGGTGTACCAGTCGTTGATAAGGACAGTGTAGTCATCTTCAGGGTCAGCGTATGGGACAGGGATCAAGAGACGGCTGTTCACACGAAGGCCACCAAAGGCACCAGCGGCACGATGCATGGCTGTGGTCGGGTAGTAGAAGTAGCTACCGATCTGATCCTTTGGCTGGAAATGGTATGTGAAGTTCTGACCCGGAGGGATCGGACACATTGTTCCAGCTGTTCCATCTTGCCATGAGTTCTTCCTATGCTGGATTCCGTTCCTATATGTAGATTTGGCAATTATAAGCTATCTATATATAGCGTTATAATGAATAGTTTACAAGTTCTAATCGAACCAAATGTTAGAATGAATAGTTTACAAGTTGTAGAAATTGAAGGTCGTGATCTATATAAATTACGTACCAGGTAAGGAGGAAAGGCTCGTCTAGGTTGTTGAAGACATTAATAATGATGTTGTTGTTGGAAGTTGAGTTGATGTTAGGACCAGGGAATTGACCGTTAATGAGGATGACTTGTTGAGGAACTCCGAGAGGAGATGCGGTTCCGTACGTCACGTTCCACACGTGGTGAAAGTAAGGGTCCTCCGCTTGGACCATCATGAATGTCGCCGTGGCCACATAGAGGCACACGGCCAAGAGTTTAACCCCTCCCTTCATTAATAATTAACTTTCTTATTAGTATTTTTCTTTTCAGGTGTTAGAAAAAAAGATGGGTTTTTCTTTTTTTTTGTTTTTTTGTTTTTATGTTTTTAGGGGTTTAAATTTCGATTTTTTGTCTTCAAATGTTAAATGATGTTTTTATAGTTTAATCGAATAAACAGTTTCCTGATTTTCCTCGTATCTTTAGGTCCCTTTCATTACGCTCTTCCTGTCGTCCATATTAGGAATATTCAATTTGACCTCTCGCTATTTTTGGTGCAACTTATTTTCTAAAATTTGTTTTTTCCAAGCTAGTTCTTTCAGAATAAAACTAATTTGGAAGAATATTTGTGAGTCTATTCGTATATATACATGATTTATTAGTTTATTACTAACTTATGTGACTAAAAGAATTATTTCCTACATGACTCAGATGACTAATAGTAACATTATGGTCAAATGATCGAATACAAAGAAGAACGAAAAATAGTCATAGAAAACGTTAGAACATGGGTTTGATGATTAATGACCTTTCAGTTTTCTTCTATTAATATTTCTGAATCTTGTGTTACAACTTATAAAAGTGATACAACATTGCGTATATAATTTATAAATACAATAAAATTATGTACAATAGTTATACTAATTAGTGACTAAATTTGACGTGAGAAAGTACGGAGCTTAAGACTAAAAATTACTAAAAAGAAAGTAAGAAACCTAGCTATCGTGACGAAAAAATAGCATCAGAATGGTTTTTTTTTTTTTTTTGAAGTAAAATTTTATTAATTGATACATTTGATCTTGTTCATAGTTTTGTCATGACATGTTTTTCCGGGAAACATTCTTTGAACGTCACTAATTGACATTGTTAGGGACATTTCCAATATTAGAATACGATGTGAGTTGTACTCATTCAAAGTTCTCCAATCTTAAAACCAAAAAGAGAAAGAGAAAGAGAGAAATCAGTTTGTTACATATAGAAAATGAATTAGAGATGAAGCGTAAAAATTGGCGACGTTACCTTACACAAGAAGTTATGTTTTTCCCCCTACATAAATCACAATGTTACCAGATGAGATTCATCAAGAGCAAAACCTTCTTTTGAAGGAATAAACCAAAAACATAGTTTTCGCTTTCATTTTTTTTTTTTGTTTTTTTTTTTTTGGTAGGAAAGGGTTAATTATACGTAACACAGAAATCAAAATTATTATGGAGGGGAGGTTATTGACGGTGTTGGTCTGCCTCGTCTCTACGGTGGCGATAGTGAACGCCGGAGATCCTTACTTCTTCCATACATGGAACGTGACTTACGGAACCGCCTCGCCTCTCGGTGTTCCTCAAAAGGTGATTCTCATCAACGGTCAATTCCCTGGTCCTAACCTTAACTCAACCTCTAACAACAACGTCGTCATCAATGTCTTCAACAACCTAGACGAGCCTTTCCTCTTGACCTGGTAACTAATCCACATTCTTTATTTATATTCTGATAAGATTTCTTGTCACTTTCACGGGGATAGGCCGGTTTTTTTTCAGTCCGGCCTGTTTCCAAGGCAAGGTTGGTCCGTAGTTAACCTTAAAAAAGAAACGAAAAATGGTCAATAATGCCGAACTCGTCCGGCTTTGACCTTTGAGGCAAGACGGGTTTCAAGGGTCTGACCTGGCCAAGGCAAATAATCCATTTAAAGCATTTTAACATTCTTATGTGATATGAGTACTAATGATGGATTTATGGATGCAGGAGTGGGATTCAGCATAGGAAGAACTGTTGGCAAGATGGTGTGGCTGGGACTTCATGCCCCATCCCAGCAGGACAGAACTTTACTTACCATTTCCAACCTAAGGACCAGATCGGTTCTTACTTCTATTACCCGACCACTTCTCTCCACCGCTTTGCTGGTGGTTTTGGTGGTCTTCGTGTCAACAGCCGTCTCCTTATTCCTGTTCCTTATGCTGACCCTGAGGATGATTACACTGTCCTTCTCGGTGACTGGTACACAACTGGCCACACTGCTCTAAAGAAGTTACTTGACAGTGGACGCACCCTTGGATTGCCTAACGGCGTTTTGATCAATGGAAAGTCTGGAAAGGTGGGAGGAAAGAACGAGCCTTTGTTCACGATGAAGCCTGGGAAGACTTACAAGTACAGGCTCTGCAATGTCGGGTTCAAGTCTACGCTTAACTTCAGGATCCAGAACCACAAGATGAAGCTCGTGGAGATGGAAGGATCCCATGTTCTTCAGAACGACTATGACTCTCTCGATGTCCATGTCGGCCAGTGCTTTTCAGTTCTTGTGACTGCTGACCAGGCAGCTAAGGATTACTATATGGTTGCATCGACCAGGTTCCTCAAGAAGGAGTTGAGCACTGTGGGCGTGATCCGATATGAGGGAAGCAACGTTCAGGCTTCAACTGAGCTGCCCAAAACTCCCGTTGGATGGGCTTGGTCTTTGAACCAGTTTAGGTCTTTCAGGTGGAACCTCACCGCCAGTGCTGCCAGGCCTAATCCACAGGGCTCATACCATTACGGAAAGATCAACATCACCCGTAGCATCAAGCTAGTCAACTCTAAGAGCGTGGTTGACGGTAAAGTCAGGTTTGGTTTCAACGGTGTATCACACGTTGACACCGAGACTCCTTTGAAGCTCGCTGAGTACTTCCAGATGGCAGAGAAGGTGTTCAAGTACAACGTGATCAAGGACGAGCCTGAAGCCAAAATCACAGCATTGACTGTACAGCCTAATGTTCTCAACATCACTTTCCGTACCTTCGTAGAGATCATATTCGAGAACCACGAGAAGAGCATGCAGTCATTCCATTTGGATGGTTACTCCTTCTTCGCTGTCGCGTAAGACTCCTAGCTTGGTCCCTTCTTCTCCCTCCACAGTCTTTTTCATTTTTATTTTTTGTTATCACTATATCTTACAACCTTGTGTTTGTTCCATGGACTAATTGCCAGCTCCGAGGCAGGGAAGTGGACACCTGAAAAGAGATCGAACTACAACTTGCTGGATGCGGTAAGCAGACACACCGTGCAAGTGTACCCCAAGTCATGGTCAGCTATACTATTGACATTCGACAACGCGGGTATGTGGAACATCAGGGCTGAGAACTGGGAGAGGAGATACCTCGGTGAGCAATTGTATGTCAGCGTTCTATCACCGGAGAAGTCCCTAAGGGACGAGTACAACATCCCCCTCAACACTAACCTCTGTGGCATCGTCAAGGGCTTGCCATTGCCTGCAGTCTACACTTAAATCAATTCAGTTTAGCTACTCTACAAAGTAGGGTGCATACTCTATTAATTTAACTAATTAACCCTTTTCTAATTTATTTGTAATTTTTAAACCACCAGATCCACTTCTTTCATATACTATCATTAAACCACAACCAAAGACCAAGTTTTGCTTCCGCAGTTCACACAAACAATGGCAAAAGGAAAAAAAACACAACATTCTAAAGCAGGGTAGTTGATTAGAACACCACAACTTCCACAAAACATATTGGTAAAATAGCTCAAACAAATAGATTTTAACAGATAGAATGCATATTGGGGATGAAGTGAAGCAAACAAGAGCAAAAGCAAATTAAATAAGCAGAGAGCACATAATTGACTAAATACAGAGAATATTGTTTAGTTACATAACATCAGATCATCATAGTCCAGAAAAAAGGTTTGATCCATTATTGATTTGATGTAAGGTAACTAAACAATATCAGATCATCAATCTTCTGATGCATTATTGATTTTACCCAAGACGATGTGAAAAGAGGACAAAAAAAGAGGTTGATACCTTCACGAAGCGCTCTCTTTTTTTATCAGAGCAAAAATAAACCTGAAAACAAGAATAATAAAAGAGTAATCCACACGGAATAACCACAAATTGAGGAATTAAGAAAATTAGGGTTTACAGAGAAGACTAAGATGATTAACAAAAGCTCCAATTCGCAAATTCAACTTCTCTTTATCTCCTATCACCAAATTTTACTGCCCCAGTTTTTTCTCTTTGTATTTATGGGCCTCGACCATGATTATCAATGGGTTCTTAAAAACCTCTTAAGCTAAGAAAAGTGATGAAAAATTAAGAAAAGTTAATATATATCTCTTGTATAAGAGACTTCTTTCACCTTTTCTTAACTTTTTTTAGCCTAAGATTTTACTAAAAGCCTACCAATAATTATGCTCTAAGCATCTAATTACATAAAATTACAATAGTGTCTTTAGGCCCTAAATTGTGTATCTTCTTCATAGCATTCAAATCAGTCTAGTTTTTTTGGTTTTTTTACTTAAATGTTGGGTCATTCTAGTTTTCTTATAAGTTTAGGTGTTAATCATCTATAGTTCTTTTTCTTCATATTTTTGTCAAGCTAGGTAAATCTTAGTTTAAAATATGTACAAAACTTATAATAAAAAGACTAGAAATATCTCCAAAAAGACTTTCTCTAACAAAAAAATAAATAAGACTGACTGTTTTTAACAAAAAAATTGGCTTCTACTCGAAAACTTAATTTAGTCATTAAACACTAAACAAAATTAGAGTTTATTCAAAAAGAATCCATACTGAAATTTCTATTGAAAAAAATTTGGAGATCTCAAATTCTCAATGACGAATTGGATCTGTTCTTGTCATTACTTGGTTAACCCGTCGAAGAAGTCATTGTCATATCCCACATCGATAAACCCTAATCCCAGAAGAATACGGAAGCATAAAGCCTGAAGTTTCTGCATGAACGTTGGATCTTTTCCTGCAACAAACAAACACACAGAATCTTAGTTAGAAAAGCGTTTTTGCGTTTGTCAAAACATTCTACGCCAAAAACACAATCGCTTGGTCCAAAAGTGTTTACCTCTTCCTCTTAGGGGTTCTTGTGCTCTAAGCAATGGTGTAGCTACATCCTCCACGAAAGCCAAACCTCTCTGAGAGTTCGGTTTGAGTGATCGATCCAAACTTGATTCCGGTGACAGCTGTTTGATATCCAATTCGCGTTCTCGCTTCCACTCCACATTGTGATTGACTCCAAACCATTCATTGTCTATGTGTTGGCTGAAACCATCAGTTTCTTTAGACTCGAAATCATCTTCATCACTAGGATTTGGGAATCTGGACAAAATCTGATCCTCTTCTTCAGAAGAACAGAGACATTGCAGCTCAAACAGATTTTTAAGCATCCGTGTAGGTTTAACCACTGTCTCTTCTGTATCTTCCAACTTTTCAAACAAGTCATTTCCAGTGATCTTCTCCGTTGTAAAACTCTGTGTTAATGGATCCTCCAGCACACTGTTTTGGCTTAATCTGTGTAGTGTTTCTGGGAACGGAGTAGCAGGAAGTTGAGTCTTGTCAAGCACGTAATCCATGTTCCCAGATTGCGAATGAAGCCAACTGTTAATCCTTGAAAACTCTGTTCCTCCCATCTTCTGCCTCACATCTTTCTCAAAGTTACCGATCTTGGAACGGGGTTTTGTCCCTGATCCAGGCCCCTTCTTCAGTACTTTTGGCTTGTGCTCAGACACAACCAACTTGATGTCACATTCAGATATATCCTGACTATAAACTGTTGCATCATCTGCTGTGTTTTGACGCATTAGGCAAGTCGATTTCGAAACGCTCCTGTCTGATGAGTCACAGGCAGAATCAAACCCGTTCTTCTTCACAGAAAGACACACAGATTCAGCTCGGACAGATGCCATCGAGTTCCTTCTTGACTTAAAGCCTGAACCATTAGGGATTACGCTAAAATCTCCTCCTGATAGTCTTCTGCTGCTAGCTGTTGGTCTCATGAAGCTAGGAAAGACATCTGAAGCACGTCTTGATTTGTTCTTTGGTTTCTTTGGAGTCACTAGGATCTCTTCTCTAATCACATCCTCCTCTTCTTCTTCAATAACATGAGGCTTACCTGAGAGTTTCTCTAACGTCTGGTTTAGATTTCTCATCTCCCTTAACGCTGTCTCACGCTTTTTTTCAATCTTTTCCATCTTCTTCTGCAGGCTTATCATCATAGCATCCTTTCTCTCTTGTTCTTCCTACACGTCAAAAGAATCTTTAACCCATTAGAAAGTGTAACACTTTAAATTAAGAAGTTGATGATGACATTATGCAAGTTATTAATTCAGTTACCGTTGATTCATTCTGCCCTAAATGGATGTTCTTTGCCCTTGTTGCAAAGTTTAAAGAACATATTGTTTCACACAAATCATCTTCTTTAGGGCTGATATGAACAAGCATCAACGTTTTTGAGTCTTGCCCTGAAACATCAAGAACTAAACTTTAGTAAAGAGAAACAAATCTAGTCAAGACCAAGGTTTTCTGGAAGATCTTACTTACCGAGAGAGTCTTTCAGAACCTGTGTGAGCTTGCTGTTCCTGAAACACACAGAGTAAAAAAAAAACTTTAAAGTTTCAGAATTTGAGACCTCAAAGGTTATTAAAAAAAAAGTTGATATGTTTACCTGTAAGGAATGTGAGAATTCTTGTGCTGAAGAGAGTTGATGACATCTCCAAGAGCAGATAAAGAGAGATTAATGGCTTTGCCTTCATCAAAACGACGACCAATGGCTTTCGTTTTCAACACACGCTCACTTCCTCCAAGATCCACTAGCCAAATCTTGTTTGTTTCACGCCGTCTCTCAGAAGCACCAAGACAAGTGATGGATACACGGATCATACTGTTTCATGAATTTTTTCATCCATATATGAGAGATGAAAGAACATTATGTAATTGAACAAAAAGAGATTAAATTTTTGACTTATTACCAGTGAGATCTGCTGGAAACAGAGTTAGAGTTTGTGGAGGCAGTAGCTCTGTTTCGACAACCTACTTTGTATAACTTGAAGACTTCATCAAAGTCCTTCACTTTAATAGTCACCAAGTTCTCGATCTCTACCTCTCCCTTTGCATCTGTATGAATCGAAAGACTGAAACAGAGAACCAATAACTCATCTAGTTATCATTTCCAACCATTTCAATGGAGATGTCTATACATGTCTAAGAGTATTATTACCTTAGAGGTATTGGAGAAATGGGTTTAGTTGCTTGAGAAACAAGCAAGTCCTTAAGATTCCCCATGTAAATCTCAAGCATACTAAAGGTGATTACAAATCTATGATTGCTTTCCTCGACTTGTTTGAACAACCCTTTGATCGCCCGAGGAACAATACCTGGAGAGTTCGGAATACCCTCCTGCAAAAATTACTCATCCATATTGATATATTGACTTAAAAGAGACAACAATGAAAATCAAAGAGATGTTTTGATTGATTCTTCTTACCATTGTATAAGTCTTTCCAGTACCAGTTTGTCCATACGCGAAAATGCAAGCGTTGTAGCCATCTATAACCGATTTGATTACAGGTTCGATCTCCAAGAAAACATCATCTGTAAATTTTGAATACTAATTAACAACACTTTCATGTATGCATGATCTATATAAGAAAATATGAAACGACTTGAAGATTCTCATAGGGGATCAAAATCGAGGCTCTACCTTGGGATGAATCAGGTTGGAAAACTCTGTCGAAGTTGTAGGTTTTTCTCTTGGTTTCTGTTAACTTGATGATAACATTTCTTGTATCCGAAGCAACCGGTGGTTTCCGTTTCTCGGAGGCTCCTAAGGGTTTGACTCGACAAAACACACGAATGTTCCCTGACAATTTTCCCAATATATAAGATTAGACTATCAAATTGAAATATACAGTTGAAATCATAGTTTAATTTTTCTGATAGTCTTACTAACCTTTAAGGTCCAAGAACTCGTTAAGAATCTGTCTTCTTCGTTTGTTCTGATCATTTACATCAACTGTTAGTGCAGAGAGTTGATCTGCAACCAATAACAGAAGAAACAGAGCAAAGGACCCTTTAAGTAACAACAACAGAGCATAAGTAAATAACAACTCTTGTACTGAACAAACATAGATTATCATATGTAATTCTATATTATATAAACTCAACCCTGACAAATGACAATCTCTATTGATTATTATTATTATGTTTTAACAGAAGCAGACTATTTCATAAAAGACAATAAGAAGATACAGTAGCAAACAATTTCAATCCCATGAGCTGACTACTAGGAGAACATTGAACCCACACATGTATTGCAAAAATGTAAAAACAAAAACCTAATAACCAAAGAGCCGTTGGATGACTGACACGTCACTCAATACAGTACAAGAGCAGATGATCCAACGGTTAATATGATTTGCATGTAGTAGGTACTCTCTCCACCAAAGGATTTTAATTTTTTCCACAAGAAGACAAGAATTGTTTTTATACAGAAGAAAGAAAAAGAAAAAAATCTCTGGGAGAAAAAAAAATATGGATATGAAAGGAATCCGAAGAAAGTGTTGGTTTGGTTGTTGATACCTTTAATGCTCTGTAATTGTGCAGGAGAAACAGAGCTGTCTTCATCTTCATCTTCTTTCTTTGGCGTCGAAGCAATTCCAGAAGAAGAAGAAACATTGTTGACGATCTTGCATACGGATTTAACCCAAGCTGAAGTCAGATGAGATTTCAAACCGAGCAAAGAATGGATCGTCTCGGGTAAATCCCGAACCGGGTTCGATCTTGTTCTCTCCATTTCTTTTCTCTGTGAACCAAATCTTGAATCTTGGTTACAAAACAGAGCTAAACAGAGGAATCAGGTTGTGATTTCACTGAACTTTTGCCGAAGGAGAGAGAGAGAGAGAGAGAGAGAGAGAGAGAGAGAGAGAGAGAGAGAGAGAGAGAGAGAGGGAAGTAGTGAAATTTGGGTCAGAGCTCATCAATGGTGGAAGCTAGAGATTTTGCTTTAAAATGAAAACTGAAGAGAATGTTCTTGAAGATCAAAGTCTCTGCAGAGGAGGTGCCCATATACACATATATATATAAGTGGAGAAAACCTTTAAATACAAATTTGTTTCACTTTGAAGAAGAGATAAATTGTAGCTGCTTTTTAACACTTGTCATTTCTCAATATCATCAAATGGGAAATTCATTATTTTATTTGACTAATTTAAAATAACAATTATTACAATTCCCCATTTTTAACTACAAACAATATTAAGAAGAAAATGCTACTTAGAATGTGATTGGTAAAAGTGTTTATATGGTTTTTATATAATTTAATCAAGTTCAACGGCTGTAGATGAGTTCATCCAAACTTTCCAATACAATATATATATATAACATAAAGTTATGTCACAACTTTATGTTTTACTTTTTTCTAAATTAATTTCTTTAGAGCTAAATTTAGAGGTTTTCCTTTAATTCTTAATTTCTTTTTGTCTTAATATCTAAAATAACTTTTCCAAATAGAAAATGCCAAAAGTAGTGATTTTATATTATTTTTATGTTTTATATTTTACTATAAAAAAGATATTTATTAATGGCGAATACCGAAAATTAGTATGTATCATAGTCTACAAAAGCTATTGTTAAAAAGGAAATGTATACTATTAATTGCGAATACCGATTATTAGTCTGTATTATACTCTTCAAAAAGATTAGTCAAAAGGAAATATATGTTTTTAATAGTAAATATTGATTCTTGGTTATTATTATAATTCACATAAGATATTATCTAACAAAATATTTGCTGTCAAAAATTTGTTATTTTATTATTCAATTCAATATAAGAGAAACCAAAACTGTAAGAGAGAAAACAAATATTTATGTCCTATTGACTAATTATCAATAATGTGATTTCTTGAAATAAAAGAAAATGTTTATATAGTATATAGTTTTACTAATATGACGTTGGACAACCAGTTGAACCTATGTAAACCGAAACATATACATTTAAGAAGACACAAATTTGATTTCCGTTAGTAGATACTGAATTAAAGTTGTTAGAAGAAAATTCAATCAAATACTAACAAAAGTATTGGAGTTAAATTGGTCCGAAGCTAACGTCTATCAGAAGAAGATTGTAAACTCCAAAAATGACCAGAAAAGAAAGAAAGAAAAATACGAAACTTGTCCGAATAAAACGAGTGATATATATATATATATATATATATATGATTTTCAGAGTATAGTTTCATTACTTTTGTTGGCACATACAAAAGAATCAATCAAATGTAACACTCGTGACAAAAAACTCCCATGTGACAACAACATGAAGAAGCATAACACTTCATGATGATAATAATACATCATTACATTGTCTTATACTTTTTAAAGCATTATTATAAATTACGAGTTAGCATGTTCTCTGTTTTTTTGGAATTTCGCTTCCAAATTAAACTTACAATACAATTTGATATAAAGTTCTTTTTTAACATGCAATGGTATAGTTTGGAAAATTTACAAGATCATGTCAACAGAAATGATTAACATTCATCAAAAACGTAATTAACCCTAGTGGTTAGAAAAAAAACTCTTTAAATGTTATAGATTCAAATATACTTTTTTTTTTTGGCTACGTACTATTTAAAAAATGGCTACGCAATCAATTTTTATTTATTTATTTTTGCAATCAAAATGATATCATAATATGTTTTCAAACAATTTAATACTTTTGCAGCTTAAATTTGTATAAATGCAATGGAGAGTTCACCTGTCACTGATGGATCCATCAATAGATAACGCAATCTTACTTGCTATCGTCTATGGTTAGAGTAAAAGTCTATTCAATGTCTCTTTCTCACAATCTATCAAAATTTCATTACCAAAAAAAAAAGAGAAAAAGAAATGCAAAATAATAGATATTAAAAGAACTCATATAAAGAAAAGATAACGCTATAACAATATTATCATGTTTTGGAAAAATACGCCAACATAGACCAATAGAGACGAACAGAAGATTTGTTATTTTTTCCCCATATAGGTTGACCCAAACATCTATGCAACTTTTAGTAATGTTACTTTCCATAAATATTCTAAAAATACATTTTGCTACCAGTTCTCCATTCACTCGATTGATTATCTTAACATTAAAATTATACAAACAAATTAAGCATCTCAGTTAGATTATTGTTTTACTTAAAATAGTGGGTGCATCTATTTTATTTTCGGCAGGAAAACAATTATATGTTTTGTGGTTTGTATATATCCGACCAAGTGCCATATATAGAGAAATGTTTATAAGAAGAAAACTAAACAATGATCGACACGTGAATATCTTGCTGCCAACACAGTCTCTGACTCTGTATCCATCACCAGAATCTCATCGGTCAAAACATCCTTTACATTCCAAAATTTTACGAGCATGCATGTATGCTTTCCATAATGAGAAGTTTTTATGCATGTGTGATGTATTCAACGTAACACTGCATGCACCAATATAATAACATACGATCGTTGGAACATTCACTACGGTCTTATTTTAAAACTCAAAAAATGGATTAATCAAAAGAACACTTGAATCGAAAAGTGGAATAAAAAGAATTTTTCATGTATTGTCGGTTGTTTTATCAAACTCAAGTCACAATTTTGAAATGTCTTTTGAAATTTAATGCATGCCAAGACTTTAAGACTTTAGATGCAATTAGAAAAATAATTAAACATAACAAATAACAATGCATAATGCATGACAAGACTGCTACAAGTTTTGGTCCTTCCATTTTGCAGTTAGGCCTCATGTTGGTTCTTCTACAACAATTCGATATGAGAATATAACTATTTTAATTACAAGATCAAGTATTTGCTTCAACTACAACCAAAAAAAAAACTCTCTCATGTAATTCTTCTTTCGCATTTGTTAGCTTAAACAAAGACTAGCTAGAACATAGCTAATTTTAAAGAAACTCTTAACCGAATATAAGATCTGCTACAACCAACATTAAACAGACCTGGTTCAACTGTCCTAATTTGAATAAAATCAATCTCCACTTGTTTAGGTCCAATGACGAGATACTTTGTTAACATGATAAAAACTTAAGATTAATACGAACAAGCGTAGGCAATAAGAAGCTAATTTGAGGCATATATACCACATTATCATCCGGAAAGTGTTGTCATTTTTGTTTGTTTCACTGCCTGGGATCGTTGGTGAGGGAAGACTAGAGAGTGATGGATGATGGGTCGCAACTCGCAAGACATATATGGGGTCTTCGTAATTAAGACTCTGCAACAATAAATACATTTCTCGTGGGGCTCATCATAACTTGCATATTGGTGTTTGTATGTATATGTATGATTATGCATATGATTTCATGACCCAAAAAACAGTAATTGTAAAAGTTAAAAACATGATGGGAGAAAATTCTGGTAAAACTCTCTGGGTCGTCGTCTTCAACGTTCTCAATTATTACAAGTACTACAAACCTTTTCCATAAATACAAAACACAAATAGGTGAATGAATAGAGATAATAATACAAAAAAGGGGATTTTTTATCACATGCAAACACATATCTTCAAGTAGTGTAACAATCCACATTTGATAACCTTCACAAATGCAAAATATCAGCACAAGAAGAAGGCAAAGGAAAGCGAGGCGTGATTGCTCAGTTTTGACTTTTAAGAATCTTGAGGAGTCTCGAATCTAGTCGGTGTGTCAATGCCCGCCATACAACAAAGTCCACTTATCAAGATGAGAAGAAAAACGATTCCCTGAAACGAAGAGAACAAATATCCTTATCAAAGACAACATATAAGGAGGAATCACCAGCTTCAAGCTACAGTGGTTATGACTTTACCACTAAGATACCCTCCAAGAGTGATGACTTAAATTTGCAGAGTTCATCACAGGTCGTAGTAGCATTAGCTGTGGCGTTCCCTGTTGCGGTCTCAGCCAAAAACCTTTGGAGAGTTTGGTATGAAGTGTACCAATAAGGATCAGAAACATATAGAGCTGCGTATTTAGTTCCAGATTGCTCCACTGAACTAACAAGGTCAGAGATAATTTCACCTGCAGAAGTAGTTCAAAGGAAACTTAGTTAACTTAGAGCTTTAGTATTTAAATGCTACACTTCTTTTGTAACCATGATCTTTCCACTTACGATCTGAATGTGACTGGTCAGATTGACTTGATGATTCAGATCCCTCAGAGCAGAGCACAACCAAGTCGGTTTCCCCTTCTTTTCTCGTTTCTTTTCTGGCAACCAGATGATCCTGTCGATTATTTTATAAGTAAAACCAGGAGGTTCAAAAGAAAGAAAAAGTTAAGTGAAGTGTGAAATATCAACACATGGTATTTGGGAAAACATAAACGTAAGAACAATCAGATTACTTTGAAAGACTGCACGTTCGATAGCTTCTGAATTGTTCCATCTTCAACAAGACACGAGTCTGAGAACACGATATTGTTGACTCCTACATTGTGAGTACAAGCTTCTTTAAGCCCTGAGAGCAACAAGTTTTCCATCCTTTCCTCCTCTGGTGCAGCAATATACGGAAATGCCAATGAGAAATTGGAAGCTGTATACAGATTCTGATAAATAACAAAGAATTGAATGTTAAATACTGTGCAGAGTAAAGAATACCAATATGTAACACATCCATGATCCCACAATACAAGTGAAACTAACTTACCTTCAAAGTGTTAACAAGTGCAGGATCCGAGTTCCGATTTGAAGAAACATCAGAAGACCGTAACTGTAAACAGAAGAGAGACTACTAAGTAAAGAAGCAGTAGAAACTACATCATCCAATGCTTAGGACATCTAAATATGAGCAAGAAGGATGCTTTGAAAGCCAAGTTTCTTCAACATATCCCAAAATGTAAAATCAACAAACTCAAATCCTAGGTACTAATCTAAACCAAAGAAAAATTTGTCATATTTGTTAAACTCATGTAGAGAAGCCAGTTCATAGATACATAAACTCTTACCTCTCTGCCAATAAACACAAGTGCCACATCAACAGGTTGCTGAAGCTTATTCTCTGAGCACTAAACCAAAAGAACAAGCAAAATAGATATGAGAGAAAACCATTGCGTTGACAAATCGAGAATCGGAAATTTTTTTGCTTGAGGACTACACACGATCATACCAGCAAACTAGACCAGCCACCTCGTGTGAAAACAGAATCTACTAGATCTTTTGCAGACATAACCTGATAATTTACATCCATTTCACCATTAACAGACCTGGAAATACACCAATGTGGACATCCATATAAGAAGATTATACCTCGCAATTCGAAAATCGAAGAAACACATTCAAAAGCAATAAAAGTTCGTAAATTTCCTCATGTAAGCACCAAAAATGATAAAGACAATGATCAACAAAGAGAGAGAGAGAGAGAGGCCTAACTGGAGATGCGGAGACCAGAGGAAAGCAGGAACTGTAGGAGTAGAAGCCAATCCAAAATCGACGAGAGCTACTAATAGCGCCACTAGAATGATTTGCATCCTCATCATCTTCTCCGTCGTAGAGTTGGGATCAAACAACAACACAAAGCGCCGAACAAAAGAAATTAAACAATGGTTCAACCGTAAAACCTAGAAATTCGAGATTTCAATCGAATTTTAATCCTTGAAAACGAAACAATCTCTCGAAGAAACTAAGAAGAAGACAGATTCATCTCCGATCCTCTCAAATCTGGTTCTGTGTTCGCAGAAGACGACGGCAATGAGCAGAGGCTCTAAACGTTGCCGTTTAATGATTAAATTACTCGCAATATCGAATCTGGTTTAGTGAGGAGAACCGGTCTGCAATTAACGGTCGTATTGAATGGCACTGAATCTGGTTTAGGTGAGAGGACCGGTCTGGTAAGGACTATTGGGCCTTTAACACATTACAGCCCACGTCAATTAAACCGTGAACAGTAATCGATTCATATGACCCTAAACCCTGACACTTGTAATATGACCCTCCGCTTATGATTTTCTCTTTACTCATGGGGTGATGGTGATACTTTTTATTTCTACAACTTCCCTTTGACATGCTATTGTGATTCTTATCGTCTCTGTCCATTGAGAATAATTTGGGTTATAGAGACTCATTGCTGGATAATTATAAGCATCTCGCACAATAGGATGTAAAGTTGATTACGGATGTAGGGTGTTTATGATCAGCCAGTTTAGATATAATGTATTCTCTATTCTACAGATAAATGTGCCATTATGTTTGGTTTTGTAACATACGTACGACTCTATTGATCATTTATTTCAGTATCCAAGTTTGGAATACAAAAAGCTTATATCAGCAATCAATCTTACACGAAAATGATGTAGAGATTGAGGTTAAAACTTTTGAAATGGAAGTGAAACAAAAGAAAGCTTATGAAGAGTCATTAAGCTCATTTCTTCCTCTTATCTTGTTGTATCATCTTCTTCTCAAAGGAAAGACGATCAAGAACTTCAGACTTGGCAACCTTTATAGATTCCACTATTCTAGAGAAGTCTTTTTCTTCAAACTTAAATTTGCCGAGGAGAGCTTCTGCATTCTCCACGGTTGGTTTCATATCATCCAGATAAAGTTGGAGAGCATTCTTTCTACTAGAATCACCTATTTTGGGGATCATGCGTTCTAGCATTTTTATTTGCTTTTTGAAGTCGTCCAACTTTACTCTCAGAATCTGCTGCATCTCATTCTTAGAAGACGAACCTAACGAAAAAAAACATAATAATAATTTTCAAATTTTCTTTTCTTTCTTTAAAGAGTTGTGTAATCCACAAAAGTTGTATACCTTTATCAACGTTGTCACTCTTCTTTGTTTCAGTTGTTGCAAGTTCCACGGATCCAACTTCAGAGGATAAAAATCACTTTTAAGTATCGGAGAAAAAAATTGGTAGCAAGAGTAAGTTGTAAATTCATAGCAAGAGTAAGTTGTAATTCCCATGAGTTCAGCAGTATAATTCTCTTCCTGGCCATCTTTAATTTCAAGCAACAAGACTTATATATATATATAAGAGTGTTGCAGATAAGTAGTCATTATACATATATATGGTCTATCATCTCAAGTAAGGTTTTAAGCAAAGAAACTTACCCGGAGAGTCCCTTTTTACATCCATCTGCTCCATCGATCTGCTTCAAGTCTAGAAAATGATGTCAACGACGACAGAGGAGATGAGTTTACAATTATGAAAAGAGCAAAAACCCTAGTTGTGTGTTTAGGGACGATTTTAGAAATTAAATCTTATAAAAAAAATGTTAATTAGAAAACATATTTAGAGAAAAAAAAAGTAGGAATATTGGAAAAGTATCCTCGTTAGATTTACAAATTCGAAAATAATATCCTAAATTTGACTTTATCATCATTTTTAAATATACACTTTTCAGCCTTCCATCTACAAGTGAAATGGATTGACCAATTTTTAGAAAGAAAAATTGAAGTACAGTAATTATCAAAAGGATTGGAAAATATGTAACCTAGTAACAAAAAAGCTCTTCGTATGAGACAAAAGTCTACGGCGTGAAGGCTCGTTGGGCTGTTGGGCCTTTTACACATTGTGGCCCACACCAATTTAAATTGAAGAACCCTGAACCAGCGTCGATTCATCGGACCATCACCGGCACTTGTAAACTCTCGAGTCTTACGAGCCCTGCTGGTTCGTCGTATTTCGTCCTCTCTAACTCCCGCCCAAAAATCTTCGGGTTATTCAGATTCAGCCATTGAAACAACCTTGAGAAGAGTTTGAAAGATGAGCAAAGTCGAGGTTGAAGAAGACATGGAAGGAGATCGCATCCCAACTAACGATTACTACTTCGAGAGAATCGGCCAACCTATCAGTATCAAAGAGGATGATGCTCAATTCGATCTCGATAACCCTCCGTCACAGCCTCTCGCTATCTCCGAACGCCACGGCCTCGTTTTCGTGGCACACTCCTCCGGTTAGTTTTTCAATAATCGGCGATTGTATAGGTTTTTTTTTTGCTCGTGTTGTTTATGTTTTGTGACCGCTTTGTGTGGAAATTAGGGTTTTTCGTTGGGAGGACTAAGGATGTAATTTCTGCATCGAAGAAGAGTGTCGGGAAAGGTGATAAGGTTTATATCCAGGATTTGAGCCTCGTGGATGTACCTGTTGGAGACGTTCGTATCTTGTCTCTCTCAGCGGATGATTCGATTCTTGCTGTCTCCGTCGCTGCTGATATTCATTTCTTCTCTGTCGATTCACTTCTTAAGAAGGTATACATCTCAGAAGCTTGGATTTAACTCCTTTGCAGCTAGGATGTAGAATCTATGTTGATTGCTAGTTTAGTTACTTTAATCTGTTCCTTTGGTGTAGGATGCAAAACCTTCTTTTTCTTATTCACCTGATCATGAGTCAGGCTTTGTTAAGGATTTTCGGTGGACAAGGAAACAGAAGCATTCATATCTTGTTCTTTCTAGTTCTGGGAAGCTCTTTCATGGAATTGACAATGCACCCCCTAAACGTGTTATGGATGGTGTTGACGCGGGTTTGTTTCATTTCTTTTGCTACTTCTTCAGTAAAAAAACTATGTTATTGTTGGCAATTATGGTAGATCGACTCTGTAGAAATTTACTTGTAAGCGTTGTTGGTTGTCAGTTGAATGGAGTTCGAAAGGGAGTTATATTGCTGTAGCCCAAGAAAAAAGCCTGCGGATTTTTTCATCAAAATTCAATGAGAAACGGTGCATAGCACTATCGTTTGACGCCTGTATTGGCGATTCTGATGAAGCCTGTTTAGTCAAAGGTATGTTGCATGTTTTGGCCTTCTTATTTCTTATCAGTATTTTCTGTTTCGTTTCATCTTGCATTGTTGCTCTATGGAGTTTGAGTTTTCTGATGGACTGAGTTGTTCTGTATTCTGGTGCTTGGACATGATATATACAAACTGATCTTGTTGAAAATTCTCGTGCTGTCTCCCATCTATATCTAAGTAAAGTCCTTATAGCCATTTATCTCTTGGACTAGTGTTGAAACTTCCCTGGTTCCGTGCACACTTCTATTGCAAAGTATAATAGATGGCTCTCAAGTTAAACTCTCTGAATGAATCACTGTTTACCAACGATACTCTGCAACAGTTGATACTATCAGATGGGTACGCAACAACTGTATTCTTCTTGGATGCTTTCAGCTGATTGATGGCAGGGAAGAAAACTACTTTGTTCAGGTTATCAGGAGTCCAGATGGGAAGATTTCTGATGTGAGTAACATTTCTTTTGCAACAATTTTGGTGCTGAGGCATAGCTCGTAGATACTAGGTTATAGTTTCTATTTAGGGGGTAGCCAGTTTTTGGATGAAATAATAGGATCTGTACCTCTACTTATATATCTATCTGATTTTGTGGTTTTTCGAACTTCTTTGCAGGATTCGTCCAATTTGGTTGCTTTATCCTTCTCCGATTTGTTTCCATGTTCTATGGATGATCTTGTTCCGGTTGGTGTTGGACCTCATTTGCTCTTTAGCTACATAGACCAATGGTACTTTTAGGCTAATTTACCATTCTTTCTATTCTTTATATTTTGTTTTGATATATTCATACTTCAGTTTCTTGCACTTTGCAACCCCTTTGTCAATCTTTCCCACTCTGGATCCGATCTTAAAGTTTTGACATAACCAACTTGGAAGAGCTATAAATCACCAAGAATGTTCTAATGAGAATGGATTTTAAATACAACTAACTACGACACATGTTCCATTTCCTATTTTACCATTATAGTAGAAGTAAAGTTGAGCTCATTCCCTATTTTACCATTTTCGTTTGAAGATGCAGCAAAGTCAGTTTAATTATTTCTGACATTTCCTCTTTTGAATTTATAATCGTGGACTATGTAAACTACAATTATCTTCAATGTGAAGATGGTAAATGTTGCTGTGTTTTCACCCTACAGCAAACTGGCGATCACCGCAAACAGAAAGAGCATAGATGAGCATATTGTTGTACTTGATTGGTCACCTGGTGATAACAAAACTGCAGTCTCTGTTGTTGATATTGATCGAGAGACCTTTTTGCCAAGGATTGGGCTCCAAGGTATGCAGTCTAGAGTTGCTGTATTGTATGTGTACTTTTTCCTACAGTCACACGTAGAAGATTTTTTTTTTCAGAGAATGGCGAAGACAATATGATTATGGGACTCTGTATCGATACGGTTTCTGTGGAGGGAACTGTTAATGTCCGTTCTGGAGATGATGAACTTAAAGAACTCCCGCCATATTTTGTTCTTGTGTGCCTCACTTTGGAAGGAAAACTGATCATGTTTAATGTTGCTAGGTAGGCTTTATTTCTTCACAATGGTTTTAACTCATTTTCGTTGACAACATTACTTGAAATATTAAATTGTGTTCCTTGACAGTGTTGCAAGACCCCCAGCTTCATCTCATGTTGATTTGGTCTCTTCTTCTGATACAGAAGATGCATATACCCCTTCGGTTGAAGATGATCTTTCTAAACAATCTTCTGAAGAGCCTGAACAACATCAAAAGTCGAGTTTTTCAGTACAAAATGAACAGAAACGCCTCATCTCAGAGGAGTTCGCTATCGAAGAAAGGTTCCCAAACGATAACATATTTAGTAAGGAATTTGAGTCTGTAAAAAGTTCAGTGTCTGGGGACAAGAACAAGAAGCAAGAAACATATGATGAAACACCGTTAAAGGTTGAAGATGGTCAACAAAGCATGATTCCTAGGCAGTTCGGATCAAGTTTTGGGCAACCACCTTTGCCCTTAGGATATGACACCAATAAATTTGCAGGATTCGGTCCTGTCAGCCGTGTTCCTGAAAAGCTTCAAAATGAAATATCTGCGCAGTCTAAGTCTCTGCATTTACTGGCCAATGTTGAGTCAAAGAGTAAACCAGCTTTATTTGGATCTCCTGGCCTGCAAAACACTTTTTTTCAGTCACCACAAAACTCACCATCTCAGCCATGGTCAAGTGGGAAAGGCATCTCACCGCCAAATTTTTTACCCAGTCCCTTTCCTTCTGTGAAAGATACTCAGCATAAGCAATCTGTACAGTCTGGAACCGGTATTGTGAATCCTCCTATGAGCATCACCGAGAAACCTGTACAAGTCATTGAGACTGGAAGAGCATCAGCTCTGAGCAATTTTAGTCCTCCGCTAGGCCAAAATCGGGACGCTAATGAAGAAATAGAGAAAATTGAGCCAGTACCTTCTATCCGTGCCTCTCAATTGTCACAACAGGTGAAATCTTCATTCGAAAAATCCGCTAGTAATCAGCAGCACAAAACTCCGCTCAGTACTGGACCTCTGAGACTCGACCATAACATGTCAAAGCAACCCAGTAATGTAAATATTATTCATGATATTAATTTCTGTACGGTTTTATTCATATGAATATGTATTCTAGGACGGGGTCATCTTACACTCATGCTTTCGCATTCATGCCTTCCTGTAGTATTTTACTTACTGGAGTGTAACTGACTCATTCCTTTTTGTACCAGATAAATGAGATGGCCAGAGATATGGATACGCTTTTGCAGTCCATTGAAGGACCGGGGGGTTTCAAAGATTCTTGTGCTTTTTTACTTGAGAGCGAGGTTGAAGAACTGGAGCAAGGACTTGAAAATCTTGCTGGCAAGTGCCAAACGTGGAAGGTGTGTATAAAAAAATTTATATTTTGTTAGTGGGTCATTATTTTTGGACTACCTCTTTTAATATTTGACCAAACCACGTTCCAGTAAACAAATACTGTAAGTGATTCTGGTCCTTTTTCTATATTGCTAAACTCATTTGGTTTGGTGGCCTTCAGAGCACTATTCACGAGCAGCAAGCAGAGATCCAACATCTTCTTGACAAAACAATTCAAGGTGATCTGTTTATTTTTTGTTCTCTTCATATGTAGCAGAAAAAAATAGTTAACAGGTGTTTTTTTCTTTTTACTTGAAAAGGCATTTTAAAGCCGCGAGGTCCACAATAGGTAAATTAGGAATATAAAAAATTTATATCGCTTCTAAGTATTCAGTGATACATAGAAATTGAGGCAAGTTTAACTTTCAACATGTTTCCTCTGGAGTCATTATATTTTATATCTTACACTGGAATCTAGGCTGCAAATTAACAGGCTATTATTTTGTTTTCTTATAACTGTTTCATATGGGGATTTCAGTTTTGGCAAAAACGACATACATGGAAGGTATGTATGAGCAAACTGCTGATAACCAGTACTGGCAACTTTGGAACCGTCAGAAGTTGAATCCTGAGCTTGAGGCCAAGCGGCAGCATATTATGAAACTAAATAAGGTTGTTGTTGTTGTTGTTGTTTTTTTTTTTTTTTAATCAATAAACTAAAGAAGGTTGTTTATGTGTTGATATATTTCCGTAATTTGATCTGTTACTACTTTAAGATCGCTCTTGTCATTTATCTTCTACTTTTCTCATTCTAGGATTTGACCCATCAACTGATTGAACTAGAGAGATATTTTAATCGGCTTGAACTTGATCGCTACCATGAGGATGGTGGGCTAACTGTGGCACGAAGAGGCGTGCCAACTAGATCTGCTCCTTCCAGGTATTCTTGTGGATCAGTTGTAAAAATTTGAAGGAAGAAAAAACCATCACAAGAAATTTTTTAAGTTGGTCATAACGTCCTCTTTTTCGCAACTCTTATTGAGGTGATTCTTTCTGCAGACGTGTGCAATCCCTTCACAGCCTTCATAATACAATGTGTTCCCAATTGGCAGCTGCTGAGCAACTCTCTGAGTGTCTCTCAAAACAAATGACACTTTTGAAAATCGATTCACCTGTAAAAAAGAATGTGAAGCAGGAATTGTTTGAGACAATTGGGATCCCTTATGATGCTTCTTTCAGTTCACCAGATGCGGTAAAAGCTAAAAATTCAGGAAAAAACTTATTACTCTCTTCTATTCCTGCAAGTATAAATGCAAAGTCAAGACAACGCCAATCATCTGCTATGAAAAGTTCTGAGCCTGAAACTGCCAGGAGGAGAAGAGAATCACTAGACAGGGTAATTTTGTAGGAAATCTTTGACTCAGTAGTCAGTACATCCCTCACGACATATGCATATTATTCTGTTCCGTGATGCTTTAGTATTTTAAACTGTGAAGAATTTCTATGCACTCTTTAATTTATGGTATATCCTGACGTCTGGCTCTATATTTGATGATCTTTTTACAGAATTGGGCTGCTTTTGAGCCTCCAAAAACAACTGTCAAAAGGATGCTTCTGCAGGAGCAACAGAAAACTGGTATGAACAACCACACTGTCTTGAGTGACAGACTACGGTCTGCGAATAATTTACAAAAGCAATCACTGCTTCGCCTGAAAGATCATGCATCACCTGTAGTCTCCTCGAATAAGGGTGAGCTAAGATATACTGTGGAGTGCATTAATTCGATCTCGGAAGAATGTCTTTTATGTTTCATTTGTTTTTTTTATTGTAATCTTCCGCTTCTCCAGTTTGATTATGTAAGTACTTTGAGCAGGTATTATGGAGTCATTCCAACAAGACACATCTGAAGCTCAATCAACCCCATTTAAAACGAGGCCACCTATGCCACAATCCAACAGTCCCTTTACCATCTCTCCAATCTCTGCATCCAAACCAAGTTTTAATTGGTCTGGAAATAATTCTAGCAGTACAACTTCTTATACTGAGGATGCCCCACTGAAGAGTAAGGATACAAGGCAAGTTTTACAACCAGGAGCATCAAATTTTCCTCTGAAACTACCAGTAGCCTCGACTGTATTTGAACAGACAGAAAACAAGGCTGGAGAATTCAAATTTTCTGAAGCTAAGGCCAATGCGTTTGTTGAAACAGCTGCTGGAAGTGCGCAGCGGCTTTCTACCACATCATCCGGATCTGATTTTGAATCAAACAAAGGTCTTGACACTCAGCTTTTACCGACGTTTACTGGTGCCGGTGCATCTAGTTTCCCTTCAAAATCTTTGTTTGGTTTCAAAACCAGTGGCAGTATCCCTGGTGATAAAGTTACTTTTCCTGCTGAAACAGTATCAGTTTCTTCTTTACCTTTGTCTAGTACATCACTTGATTCCGTTTCCACCTTTTCTACACCATCATCACCTCTAGTGTCATCCTCTACACAAGATTTAGGTATGTTTACTTTAACCTCTGTGTATTTTGTTTTAATCACATAATAGTCAACTATAGGAACTTTTTAATATCTGGTCAATGACACTGCTTAACTATATTATGAGTTTCAGTTCCAGCACCTATTCCCATCAGCTCAAAACCAGCACCACAGACGTTTACGGTCACGTCTACATCTACAGTTTCAGCTACGGATTTCAGTGTTCCATTTGGTAAATCGTTGACCAGTGCCAATGTAGATCTCAATCAAGCAGCTACATCAACACTTTCTCCATCACCTGGCCCAACAACTGGTTTCTCTTTTAAATTACCAGCTTTGTCTACATCGTCCCCTGAAATCGTCTCATCCTCAATAGGCCAATCTTCATTATTTCCTCCATCTTCTACAGCATCGCAAGTGTCATCTAATCTGGTATCTGCAAGCAACTTTCTGTCCGATAGTAATCGTTTGCTTTCATCAACTTCCTCATCTTCGACTCCCCTTAGTACCTCAACCGCTCCTAATGCGTTTCAGTCTCCTCAAGTTTCCACCCCGTCTTCTGTCGCATCCATTATAGAGCCAGTCTCAGAATCTAAGCCAGAGGCTCAAAGTTCTTCAATTCTAAAAACGGAAAGTACTGTTGATTCTGTAGCAAATGCAACAAAAACACAGATCGAGCCGCTACCGGTGAAAAGTGAGACTTCAAACACAGAGACTACTGTAACCCCTGGCAGTTCATCTGGGTTTTTGTCTGGATTTTCATCAGGAACACAGTCTAGTTTTGCAAACATGGCGCCTCCTTCATTCAGTTGGCCAGGTAGTTCTCAGCCACAACAGCTATCGACTACACCTGCCCCTTTCCCTGCGTCCTCACCAACTTCTGCAAGTCTATTTGTCGAGAAAAAAGATATTGTAGATACACAGGAAGATGAAATGGACGAAGAAGCTCCAGAGGCTAGCCAGACAACTGAACTTAGTATGGGAAGTTTTGGAGGTTTCGGACTTGGGTCAACTCCAAACCCGGCTGCCCCCAAAGCCAATCCATTTGGTGGTCCCTTTGGTAATGCTACAACGACAAGTACTCCATTCAATATGACAGTCCCTAGTGGCGAGCTATTCAAGCCTGCATCGTTCAATTTCCAAAATCCTCAACCATCTCAACCAGCAGGGTTTGGTGCGTTTTCTGTAACACCTTCTCAGACACCTGCTCAGAGCGGATTTGGCCAACCGTCACAGATTGGTGGGGGACAGCAAGCTCTGGGGTCGGTTCTTGGCTCCTTTGGGCAGTCGAGACAAATTGGTGCTGGTCTCCCAGGAGCTACGTTTGGTTCTCCTTCTGGATTTGGTGGCTCTAACCCAGGAAGCAGTCTGCCAAATGCACCAGCATCCGGTGGTTTTGCTGCTGCTGGTTCTAGTTCCACAGGAGGCTTTGCGGGAATGGCTTCAGCTGGTAGAGGCTTTGCTGGTGCTTCTTCTACTCCTACTGGTGGCTTTGCGGCCTTAGCTTCAGGTAGTGGAGGCTTTGCTGGTGCAGCTCCAGGAGGAGGAGGCGGTGGATTTGGTGGACTTGGTTCAGGCTCTGGAGGTTTTGGAGGTTTTGCTCCTCAGAGTAGTGGAGGTTTCGCAAGTGCAGCAGGAGGTAAATATTGATTGACATACAAGTACACATTCAAGGTCATGCTCATTCATTTGAGTCACATTTTTATTACAATTGCCTTGTTGTGTGATGGTATTTAATAAACAGGTGGTGGTTTTGGTGGTTTTGGCGGCCAAGCCCAAGGTCAAAGCGGTGGTGGTGGGTTCTCAGCCTTTGGTGGGAACTCAGGGGCAACAGGAAATCCATCGGAACTCTTTACACAGATGAGAAAATGATCTCTAGCCTTAGACTTACGCTTGTGTCTAGAAATTTTGGTCTTCCACCTTAGACTATCTCTAGTCTTATGATCCGATAAATATATTATTGTGTGTTGTCTTGTTTGTGTGCATTAAAAATGGATTAAAAGTCAACTAACCTCTAAAATGTTAAGTGAAATTGCTGACTTAAGTTACTCACGTGGCTTATGCCTTGATGATGGTCATACAGTTGAGCTTTTTCATCCCTTTTTCCAGAAAGCCATTTTGGTTTCATTATTATTTTTATAACAACCTCAGAGATATTTTCTTATGTAAGTAATCCTAGACTTTTTATATTACACATCTTGCTAATTAAAAAGTTAATTTTGATTTAGAGAGTTATTAAAAGAAAGGAGTGGGTCTAGTTGGAAGAGCAGAGAGGCGTTTATTCCAGACAGACTTTGAATATTTTATTTGATTATTAGTTAAGAGAAATTTAATTTATAATCTCAGCGGAGAAATTATAATGTTTGTTGATGTAATTTGGGCTCTCAATCTTTGGGATTCGATGTGATCCCGCCAAACAGACTCTTACTTACTCTCCCCTCCTCACGATTTTTTCTCCACCGTCGATTCCTTCCCTCTCCGGTGTCGCCGGAAAATCTCGACATTAGAAGCTTCGTTGGATAACTTTTCTTGTCTTTTATGAAGGGACATCGACATTTATGATGCTTTGTTCTTCTTTACGAGATCGAATACAGCCTTGGCTTCGCGACTATGTTAGGCTCCAATCTCTCGCCGTCTTCCTCATTTACGCTCAGGTTTTTTTTTCTTTTCCATTCTCTCCTTCTCTCTCTCTCTCCCTTGTCGACGTGGTTGTAGTTGATTCATCGAATCTGTTAATCCGGTCTAGGGTTATCGATTTGAATTTCTCTCATCTTATCGCTGACTATTCTGAGGAAATTATATTTATTTTCCGGTCGTTTTAGATTGGGTGCGCGCTAATCGGATCACTCGGGGCATTATACAATGGAGTTTTGTTGATAAATTTGGCGATTGCGTTGTTCGCGCTCGTTGCAATCGAGAGCAATAGCCAGAGTCTCGGCCGCACCTATGCGGTTCTTCTTTTCTGCGCTCTTCTTCTTGATATCTCCTGGTTCATACTTTTCACCCAAGAGATATGGTATCCATCGCTCTTTAACACCATGTTTCTGTATCTGCACTAAGCTTTGGTTTAAGAGATTTATACACTCTTGTTATATTTGCTGGATATATCAACTTTGTTTTGGAAATGATTGATCATTATTGTTGATGCAGGAGCATTTCAGCTGAGACGTATGGGACCTTTTTCATATTTTCAGTGAAACTGACGATGGCCATGGAAATGATTGGTTTCTTTGTGAGGCTATCGTCCTCTCTCTTATGGTTTCAGATTTATAGGCTTGGGGCTTCTATCGTCGACACTTCACTTCCCCGTGAAACAGATTCGGATCTACGAAATAGCTTCTTGAATCCACCTACTCCTTCTATAGATAGACAACGTTCAGGTGCTGAAGAAATTTTGGGAGGTTCTATCTACGACCCAGCCTACTACACCTCTCTATTTGAAGAAAGTCAAACCAACATGAATTCACCCAAGGCTACACAGGTTTTTCCTACTTTCTACTCTCTTTGCTTTTCCTCTTGTTTTGCAGTTATATGTTTCCCAATTCTGGTTTTGTAATTTTATCACTTTCTACTTGCCTGAATACTATACCAAGCTGTCCATCTAGAAAGAGTCTATTAATCCTCATTTTAACCTGGTTGGGCGGTAGTCAGTGCAATGCATTATACTTAAGTCTGTGATCAACTAACTTAATGGAAAATACAATGATCCTTTTCTGCCTTTTAGCATTAATTGTCTGTAGTAGAAACTACGAACAAGAACCCCCAGCAATGGTATTTTGCAACTTTAGGATATACATAAGACACTACATTGTGGTAATAATGGGAAGTTTTATCTAACAGCAATGAGAAGTTACTCACCAAATGAAAATTTTGTCGTCCTTGTGTCCTTTGTAGGTGAATCATTATTCAGCTGGGAACAATGGATCACCATCTGCTGCAGAAGCCTCTCATATGAAGTCTGCCATATCTAGATCCTTGCATTCAATTGATGTTAGTCTCCATTGATTTTGACATTTGTTCTTTGTCGTATTAGTTGCACTATATCTTGTTACTGTTGTGTTATGACAAATAATAAGACAAATCTGGTTTTTCAATGTTTATGTAGGAAGAGAAGGGATTGAAGGAAACGGTTAGTCTCCATTGATTTCGGCAGTTGTTCTTGGTCATATTGCACATATATAATGCACTGTCTTATATCACAATATATGGTTTCAAATATTCTGTAGGAAGAGAAGGGTTTGAAGCAGACGGGGATGGCGTCAATATGATTCAAGAACGGTAGTGTTACCATTTGGGCATCTAAAACAAACTGAGTTGTCTGTTGAGGTTATAGTTATCGGATTTTGAAGCCGCCGATACACTTGTTATTCACCAGTTTTCGGTGAGCGAGGGAGAATCACGAAGCGTCGTCATGTCCATACAAAGTAGAGCAAGATAACATAAGACATTCCAGAAGATGAGATTTCTATATGTCAACGACAAGTAAGCACTGTTTTTTACTCATGGGTTTTCATTATTTATTCGGTATGAAAATATGTTATTTTTGGGAATCTTATGGTGAGAATAGAGTCAGAGTCATCAACGTGATGCATCCAACATATGATTCTTTCCGAGTTTTCTTTTTTGTTACTTGTATGTAAATGGAGATACGTTCTTATTTTTAAATTTTTGGGTTGCGAATGGAGATGGTAAAAGATTACAGCGTGGTGGGGGGATATGTCAGTTTCGTCCTTGTAGTGACTACTGATACTGTCGCAAAACCCTGGTTACAGAAGTCATATATAAATCCATGAAAGTTATTTGCAGTAACTCAATTAAGATGTTGGAGGATCAAAGAGAGCAGTACCATGTTTGAGTTTGACAAAGCTTGGTAAACCCCCTTATCCAAAAGGCCCAAGTAATAAAAAATATAAAAAAGCCCACGAGCTAAATAAAGAAATCAAATCCACGTGGTTGATGTTTGTGGAAAAGTCTACTGTGAAATAAGCAAAATTAATTAAAAAGACCCACACACAGACAGAGGAGAGGAGAAAGAGAAACCCAGAAGGATCTGGAAGAAATAAAAAGAAGAAGAAGAAGAAGAAGAAGAAAGAGATCCTTTTTATTTTTCATTTTTCTAATTTTCTCACACGACAATTCTCCTCCTTTCGTATATACTACACAAAAACCCTTTTCTCTCTTTTTTTTTTTCTTCTTTTCTTCATCTTCTTCAAATTTCAAAACTCTCAAATTCCTCATCCTCATCGCTAACATTTTCCTGTGCTTATCTAATCTGCTGTCGAACAAGACTCAAAAAGGTTTGCTAGTTTCTTTGATTTTTATCATTTCGTTATCAATCTGAACGCAAGCTTGTTTATTTATCTACATGGTTAGGGTTTTCAAATGGAACGACAGATTCTATGATCGATGACTTTGCTTTTCGATACGGCTTTACGAACGATTGCGTCTGATTTTTTTTGGTGTATGTTTTGTTTATATGGTTACGATTGACGATTTCAAAACCCCCTCTCATTTCTCTTCCTCTGTACTTGTTCTTCCTCCAGCTCCATGTTAGATCATCATTTCTTAGTTTCTGATTCCAAACTTGGGTTTTCTTTTTCGGTGCGTTGATGATTGGGTTTTATCGAAACTGATCCTAGGGTTTGATTTTACTTATTCGCTCTTTTGGTATCGTTCAAAAGTTCTTTAGCCGACATATGTCTTCTTGTTCGGTGACTTGTTCTTATCCCGTGTGAAAATTGATTTTTGTGTGTGTGGCTATGAACAGGGAATACAAGTTAAAGGAATCAGCCATGGAAGAAGCAGCTGCGACGAGGTATTGGTGTCACAGGTGTTCTCAAACTGTGGATCCAGTTATGGAAGCTGAGATCAAATGCCCCTTTTGTCATAGTGGCTTTGTTGAAGAGATGGCAGACGACGATCCTGATTCTTCTGATCCAGCTGATGCTAGAGCTAACAATTCTCTTTGGGCTCCTATCTTGATGGAACTTATGACTGATCCTGTGCGCCGCAGAAGGAACCAGAGTGTTGAGTCTGTCGAAGACAATCAGAACGAGGGTAACGAAACTGGGAACAACAGCGGTGGAGAGACCGATTTGGACTCGCAGCTTCAAGAGATTCTTAGGAGAAGGAGAAGACATTCCGCTGCTGTTTTGCAGTTGCTTCAGGGGATAAGAGCAGGGCTGTCTCTAGAATCTGAGACTACTGGGAATGGTGATAATAGTGATAACAATCCGGCAAGGGTGATCTTGATCAATCCTGCCAATCAAACCATCACGGTTCAAACCTCTGCTGATACGGATTCTGTAGCTGCTGGTTCTTTAGGTGACTATTTCATTGGTCCTGGATTCGAGATGTTGCTTCAGCGCCTAGCTGAGAATGATCCCAACAGATATGGAACACCTCCAGCTAAAAAAGAAGCTGTTGAGGCTTTGGCAACGGTGAAAATCGAAGAGACACTACAATGTTCTGTTTGTTTAGATGATTTTGAGATTGGAACTGAGGCAAAGTTGATGCCGTGTAAGCACAAGTTTCATGTTGACTGCTTGCTCCCGTGGCTTGAGCTTCACAGTTCATGCCCGGTTTGTAGATATCAGTTGCCTGCAGATGAACCAAAGACTGATTCAGCAGCAGTAACAACAAGTGATAACAATGGAGGCAGTAGTTCCTCTGCTGCAATCAGCCATGGAACTGGGAACAGCGATGGGAATGACCGAGAAGAAGAAGAAGAAGAGGAGGATGAAAGCGAGGAGGAAAATAACACGGAAATTGGATTCTCTATCCCGTGGCCTTTTAGCACCTTGTTCTCATCGTCCCAAGATAGCAATGCATCAACTGATTCGAGTTAAAAAAAAAAAAAAACAGGTCCCCTGAAGCAACATAAGCTTTTTTTGGTGTGACCATGAAATTTCGGTTTGACCCTAATCTGATCTTTTGTCTGTACATAAGTTTCTCAGATTTGGTCGAATGCTACATCCTCGGAAAACAAAAATCTTTCTATATGTGTTTTTTGGTTGTTTTGAACATATCTTTTGCCGGAAGGCGGATTCTGTAAGTTGCTTATATGGTTCTTTGGTTGTCTCAACTCTCAACTAAGGCACCTTTTCAACTTTGTCTGTGAAATCGATAAATTACTGCCTTAATGGTGAAGTAACAAAGAATGGTGGTTTCAAGTAAGAATTGGGACCGTAGTGAATTCATAGAAAACATAAAAACAAGTAATTTCACTAATTGAATTGATTATTTTGGCAGTGTTATTGTACAGTACATCTTCAAAAAAGATGATGTGTTTCTCCAAACTTTAGTAAGGAAATTAAATGCGTTTTCCTTATGCATGAAACATGATTGCATTACGCGTAGAACAATTAGTAGTTAGGATAGAAAATAGCTAGAATTCACATGTGTAAAATGCGACAAAAGAAAAGAAAAAAACAAATGGAGACTATGGAGTGTATGTAAAACATGTGTGAAAATAGCCAAAGAGTTCACATGTGTGAAAATAACCAAATATGCGATATTAACGAACTTATAGTGTATATACATACACTTGTATTAAGGATCCACCAACTCTCCTTTTCCTATATATAAGTGATGTATAGCATCAACTAATAACACAACCCTCTCACATTAGTCTTAACCACAAGAAACAAAAGAAAAAGAAAAGAAATGAATCGTCAGGTTTTATCCTTGATCACTTTGATGATTCTTCTCTTACTCTCTGTGTGCAACACAACTATGGGCCGAACCTTGCCAAGTAAGTTTGACCATCTTGATCGTATTTTCTACTTATAGTAATTAATTTCTTATAAATTTGCCCATCTTGATCTTATTACTTATAGTAATTAATTAGTTTCATATAAGTTTCACTCATCATAACAAAATTCATATTGAATTCTTGGATCTCATATGTATATTTCTTGGCTTTTAAAACCATCAAGGCGAAGGAAATGGAGCATTACAGTTTCGAAATGTTAAAGCTAGTGTCGAACCAAGTTCATCGAAACGTGGGACAGGGCCTGGTTTGTAGGGGAGGGCCCTGGATCTTCTCATCATCATGAAACCAGAAGCAACACTTTAATTCAATAGGAAGGAGTAGAAATTTTATCTTTCCTTGTTTTTTCTACTCATATTAATTTAATATGACCTGAATTAATAAGACGATGCAAGATATATGTATGTGTATACATATCAAAATGACTATGAGATTATGGTATAAGACCAATTAAATATCATTATGTTATTCTTGTTTTAGAATTGAAGGATTAAATACAGAGAGAGTTTGCGATGATAATGCATAACAATACTATTGAATTACTTTTCACCGATGCCCGGATCTGTACATAGATGCTATGATTTTCCCGAATTAATTGATCTTGTCCGATAAAGAGACCACTGAGGTGTGTAAGTTAAAGAAACTAACTACATATATACACAAGAAACTCTCTGAGAACAAGAAGAGGAAGATCGGAGATTGGAAATCATTTTATAGTTAAACGGTTTAGAAATCCAAACTGTAGGAAGATATTATATCTCTATCTTGTGGGTCGTCATATTCATCATCACCATGCATGATTTGAATTATAGAGTTGATTCGTTTTGGACTTTTTAATGTACCCTTTTCCTAAGATTTTTTTTTTTGTTGGTAAAACTTTTCCTAATTAAACTTTACTTACGCAAATAGATAGTTATTCTGTTCATTCTAATCAATAATATAATCTTTTGTTTACGCGTCAAGAGTAGTTTAGCTTTCATAAAAGCTATGAGTTTACATTTTTAAAAAGTTACGACTTACGACCGACCAATATATATGCGGTATTAACGAACTTAAACTTTAACTAATGTACTGTATACTAAAATATATCCCTTAACGCTTCACCAAATCTCCTACGATATATATAAGTATTGAAGCATCAACTTATATTACAGATTACCTCGGAGCGAGTAAACCTTAAACCCGAGACAAAAAAGAACTAATGATTCGTCGTCGTCTGGTTTTATCGCTAATCACCTTGATGATTGTTCTCTTACTCTCAGTGTACAACACAGCTCTAGGCCGAACCTTGCCAGGTAAGTTGACTGTTCTTGAATCTTTGATCATATATACAATAATTTCACTGATCAGCAAAACTCATATTCAGTTTTTCTTTTTTCATCTCATCTTCTGTATATTTTTCGCTTTTTTTTAAAAAAAACTATAAAGAGGAAGGAAACGGAGCACAAGGATTTGAAAATGTAAAAGCTGGTGTCAAACGAAGTGAATCGCCACGTACTCGTCAGAAAGGCCCCGGACACTAGTATCATCATATACCGTCTCTTACAAAGTTTTTAACCATGCAATAATTGAATAATTTGATACTAGTCTAGTACTGGTTTGTAATAAGTTCGTTCGACTTATAGAGACAAGACAACAACAAAAACATTCGAGAGTAATATTCGTAGTGTTGAAAAAAAAAAAAAAAGAGAAGAAGAAACAAAAAAAAAAAAAGAATATATATACGCCGCACGAGCACACAACATTCTGTAAAATAACACGTGGCAGATAGAGAGTGGACGTTCTCTTAAAATACCAGCAAAGACCGTAACATTAAGATCTAACAAGCTGATTTACCCGAAATACCCTCATCCGACAAAGAGAGACAAGGGTAGTTTAGGGAAGCATATATGTGTCCATAAGCTCCTCCAGATCCAAAACGCGATTCGTGAGCCTCCCCCTTCAGATCACAAAATCTCATCCCCTGAGAGAGAGAACCCAGAGAGAGAGAGAGAGAGAGCGATATTGAAAATCAAAAGCTCTCTCCTTTATATAAACTCCCAATTTACAAATCTCTTTCCCTCTCTAAATATTTATCTTCTTCTTCTTTGTATAAAAAGCCTTCACCTTTTTCTTTGAATCATTCATCACCACCTTCCTTTCGCCTTTTTTGGGGAATTTCTCTCAATCTATATTAGGGTTACGAAACCCTAAATTTTTGTTTTGAAATCCCGGATCGTTAACTAGCGAAAGGTCTGATTTTGTTTCTTACCCTTTGTTTCTTATGGGTTCGATTCCTTGGATTTGATTTGTAAAATTGAGTTTCTTCGTACCCTTTTTTTATAGTTCGCTTTGTTTCGAATTTGAGATCTCATGTTCTCTGGTTTTGTTTCATAGCTTTTTCCTTGTTTGATTGTGAAACAACGTTTCTAGGATTCTATAATAAAAAAACCCTTTCTTGAGACAACCTGGTTTGGTCAATTAAATTATACTTCAAAGAAAAAGAAAAAATCTTTCTCGTGGATGCTTGTTGGTTTAGATCGACATGAACTTAATATTGTTTTTCTTGTTTAAGATGAGATCTAGCTGATGTGTGTTTACGTTTATTGTTATGTTAGAGGATGGCTGATCAAGGAATGGAAGGGAGCCAACCTGTTGACCTTACTAAGCATCCCTCTGGGATTGTTCCAACTCTTCAGTGAGTTCTCTTTTGTGTCTCTTGTCTATATTTCTCTGTTTTAGATAAACTGTGTTTGTGCTTTGTGAACTGACAAGATTTTTATCTTTTCGTTTGTTTGTTTTCAGGAATATTGTCTCGACAGTGAACTTAGACTGCAAGCTTGATCTTAAAGCCATAGCTTTGCAGGCTCGGAATGCTGAATATAACCCCAAGGTTTGCTTTCTTTGTATTCTTTATGTTGTTTTGAATTGCAATAGTATTTTATTTACACTTATCCTAGAGTTATCTAGTATTTCTGAAATTTGTTTGGCTATTGCGAGTTATACTAGTTTGGTTTATATTCTCAGATTTGGTTTAATCTTAAGTTTTTCATGTTCCAGCGTTTTGCTGCTGTAATTATGAGGATAAGAGAGCCAAAGACTACAGCGTTGATCTTTGCATCTGGGAAAATGGTATGCTACATAGGCTTCCAGCTTGTTTCGTCACTTTGTCTCATATGGTACCAACTTCCATGTCCCTTTTTTTTTAACGTGGCGTCTATGTTTTCCAATTTTAGGTGTGCACTGGAGCTAAAAGTGAACATCTTTCAAAGCTGGCTGCAAGAAAGGTAACTAGCTCCTCTCAATTTGATCTGATGTTCTTCTTCTAGCAGCACTATAGTTAGAAACTTGATATTATTCAAGTAGGTATTTGTTCTCTGTTATACTAAAGAAGTCCTTTTTGTTGTTCAGTATGCTCGGATTGTTCAAAAGCTTGGCTTTCCTGCAAAGTTCAAGGTACTCATATGTCTTATCTCTGGACATGATCCAGTATACACTGTAATATTAACTTTTTTAAGTAAATCATCAATTCGTTTGTTTTTTCAATTGGAAGGAAAAACTATGTATACAGTCTAGTAATAACATAGCTGATTACATTTTGCAGGATTTCAAGATTCAGAACATTGTAGGCTCCTGTGATGTCAAATTCCCCATTAGGCTTGAAGGTCTTGCATACTCTCATAGTGCTTTCTCAAGTGTAAGTGATCTCAAGCATTGTGATCATATATACTTGTAAGATGGAGATAATCGTCTGATGATTCGTACCTCTCTCATCATTGTGATGCCAGTACGAGCCTGAGCTATTTCCAGGATTGATATATAGGATGAAACAACCAAAGATTGTTCTGCTTATTTTTGTGTCAGGAAAGATTGTTATAACTGGAGCCAAGGTAATATTTATGCTTTCTCTCTCAAGTGTTTACAATTTTATCCATGAAAATGCTTCTGTTTTCTGATGAAATCCTGAGGTTGCACTATCAGATGAGAGATGAGACTTACACCGCATTTGAGAATATCTACCCAGTTCTGTCAGAGTTCAGGAAAGTCCAGCAATAATAGTATGTAAGTTTCTCAACTTTCTCCATCTCCATTTGCAAATTTCGTACCTCTTATTCAATCAATGGTTTAATTATGGTCTTTCAATTAAAGCAGAGCCTACAATATCGAAAGCAAAAAACCATAATTACATTTGGATTGCCAAGAAGTAGAGATCTCAGGTGGTGGTTTAGCGCTTGGTGAGGTTATTTTCCTTGGAAAGGAACATGGTTTGATTCAGATTGAAAACCAGAAATTGTAAATACAGAATGGAGATGTCAAGAAATCTCTTTCTTTTTTTGTTCTAAAAAAGTTTCTTTCAAGTATCTTGTTTCATGTTCTGTTTGTTTCAATGAGCAATTACCCAATCATTCAAGAGTCACGTAGTTCTTTGCTAACGGTCTGTAATAAGACATCAAGTCTATTTTTCCTTAATATACTCTTTCAAACAATTTGTAGCTCTAGTTTGTCAAATTTTTCGATCAGCTCTATCTCTCAATAGATAATTATCTTTGTACACACATTGACCTAAATACTCTGAAAGAAAAGTTGACTGTATTTCATACATATTTGAGTCTTAAATGTGATTTGGATTTGGTGGAACTCAAATACATTAGACGAATAAATAACAAAGGCATGCGATTACATTCACCTCTGATACAGCGGGGTCAAGTCCTAGTTGTAAACAATATTAAGCTTCAGTTCTGAATTCTCTGCAGAAACAGATAGAACAGCTAGTAATTCACAGTCGATTTGATTGCGTCCAATATCTGCATCAGAACACGTAAACTGTTAGAAACTGCAGATTTGGATCGGAACAGAAGAGTGCTAAGAGTAAAGGAACTTGCCTTATTCTTGGTGGGCATGTAGAATGGCTCAAACACAAGTGGAAACGGAGTATCCAGACCACAAACTCTGCTTACTGGAGCTTCTAACTGCAGGACAAACCGACACTTTTAAGGACCAATTAAGAGTACTTGTGTAGGTGAATGAAGAATTTTTTCTACTTACCTTCAAGAAACAACGTTCAAGGATTGTTGCAGAGATCTCTGCTCCAAAACCACCTGTTATTGGAGCCTCATGGCTTATCTGCAACCCAAGCAAAAACAAAACAGCCTGTAAGATCGACCAGACAAAACAAAAGCCCACATTATCATTTGTTGAAGCTTACAAGAAGTCTGCCAGTCTTTTTAACTGACGCCTCAACAGTTTCTTTGTCCCAAGGCAGTAGAGTCTTGAGATCTATCAATTCACATGATATCCCTTCCTGCATAAAATCACGACCTGCGTTAATAACTGTGAACCAATCATCCTTGAGTTGTCAAATAAGCTAAAAACCTTTTCCGCGTCCAGACAAGCTTGTTCCATAATGGTAAGCTGAGCTCCCCATCCAACAAGTGTTATGTCATTCCCTTCTCTTATAACCTGACCATAAACTCCTTTTCGTTAGTCTCGACTATGAGATCATCATCATCTTCTAAAAGAGACAGTGAAAATAAAGTTATTATACCTCAGCTTCGGATAAAGGTATCATATAGTCATGCTCAGGGACTTCTTCTACTGCTTGACGATACAGCCACTGAAGGAAATATCAACATTTCAAGACTTTAGAATATGTGCTAAGAAGCTGATTTGGTCGGTATAAGAGAAAAGGAAGTACCTTTGGTTCAAAGAAGACAACGGGATTTGGATCACGGATGGATGACAACAGCAGTCCTTTTGCTTCTCGTGGACTTCGAGGGATAACAACCTTGATACCAGGGACATGGCAGAAGAAAGCTTCAGGGGATTGTGAATGGTAATGTCCACCATGACCAACTGCTCCATATGGTGCTCTTATCGTAAGTCCTATCAAGATCCATACAAACCATGATGAGAAGAAAGAGGTTACTGATGTCAAATCACGAAGAAATGTAAAAGATGAAAGATTCACCTCCACAGTTGAATTGGTTACCACTTCGGTATCTGAACTTTGCGGCTTCATTAACAATCTATAAATCACAATACCATTCAGAAATCCAGCGGCGAAAACCATATGCTTGTTTAATGAGAGAACATTTACCTGATCAAATGCAGGATATATATAATCCGCAAACTGAATTTCAACAATAGCTCGATTTCCCTGTGAAATTCGGACACAGTTAGATGTTAAAATCCGTTGAAAACAAAACAAGAAGCCAAATCCAACACAAACAAGAACTCACCATTGCTGCAAGACCAATGCCAAATCCAACAATGCCCTGAATCCATTCAAAGCTTTTATGAATGGCTCATCAAGAAACACCCAATAACACTAATCTTAAAAGAAGTGAAAACAGAAGTATGTCAAGGATTGATGATACCTGCTCGCAAAGAGGAGTATTGAAGACGCGATTTTTCCCGAATCGTTCAGCTAAACCAGTTGTGCAACGAAAGACTCCACCAAAGCCAACATCTTCCCCAAACACATAAGAGCTTCCACAATAACTTAATAAGTCAGACTCTAAGACAACATCATACAAAATTTCAAACAACTAAAGATGTAATTAATTAATTAACTAAATTTAGTGATTTTTTTCGATCTTCTTCCTTAAAATGTGTTCTGAGCATGAGTGTGAAAAACAACTCGTTACCCAGAGATCGATCAAATGATTTTAGACAAAAAGAAAGTAAATAAACAAACTTTGCTACTGGAAAGCTCACCGAGGATCGGAGTCCAAAGCGATGTGAAGCGCTTGATTGATAGCAGAGTAAAGATTCAACGATTTCCCAGTTTCCGTCGATACACTCCGAGCTCCATGACCTGAGCTCAGAAAACCAAATCTCCGGCAGGATCTTCCTAAAAGAGCGGCCATTTACACAAACCCACCAACGATCACCCTCAAGAAAATATAGAAAATACTCTATTTTGGCTATACAGACAAACCCAGTTGGTAAGACTTGACTTGTAGGTGGCAAAGGTTTGCTCTTTTTGGGTTAATCACGGATTTTACGTACTGAGATGATACTTCTGCCACGTCGGATCCGACACGTTGATCTTATATCTTTTATCTTGCAAGTTGCAACTTTATTTAATGCGAAAGGTAGGGGAGCGTTTTACACAGGTTTATATAATAAAACAAGAACTAAACAAAGATTGGTCCCTTTGAAACATCTCAATTTGACCCAATCGGAGACAGAGGATGGAGATGGGAAAGAAGATAACACATTTCAGACTCGAACCAAAAATCTAAATAGACAATGAAGAAAAAGGCTCAAACAGATTCATGCCTAAACCAGTAACCAAAGAAAATAAAAGGTTTGCAACGAATAGCCATGTCCTCTCTCTCTCTCTCTCTCTCTCTCTCTCTCTCTCGCTCCTTGCGTTTAGATAAAGGACCTCTGTGAGCTTGCATAGTAAAACTTAGCAACCATTTGGAATCACACCAACCGGTTTCTCGTTATTTTACGAGGTAGGTTGAGTAGCTGAACCTGATTCCTTTGAAAAATCTTCTCTAGTTATCAAGTATCCTCTCCATCCCCAAGGGCAATCCGGTTATCAAGTATCGCTCCAATCCCTTCAAACCCTTTGCAAAACTGATAACTTTCCCATGATTTGTTGGTTACTAGCTCTGGTGCACAACCAAAACGCCTGTTTTCATTAGCCAGCCACTCCAGTAACGGCATCTTCTCCTCTACATCCAAGTCTTTGTAATTCTCTGTGTTGCCTTCTTGTTCCTTGTTCAAGTATTTTATCACAGTTTCACCCGTTAAACTGTTCTTCATCACATATCTGTTGATATCAAGATTATCCCATACGATCAGCGTCTTGACAGCACCCGGCTTAGACTCCAAAACGTTCATCGTACCATCTACGCCAAAAACATACTTCCCGGGCCGCTTCCTTACCTCCCCAAAGTACATGTCCATCAAATACCTCTCTCGGGTGTACTTTCCATTCGCCAGGATATCAGATAACTGCTCAATAGCCTGATTGAAACCGTTTTCTACTCCATAAGACACTTCCACCACATTCACTAGCTTCGCAACAAGCCGGTGATCAAACAGACCTAGCTTCATCAACTGAACCTGGACATCTGATGAACCAGCAAGAATCAGCCCAGTCACATTAGGCTGGCCTGTCAAAGGATTGATGTAGTACTGTGTGGCGAGCGCACCAATTTTGCTCAAGTAACTGTCAAGCATCTCCATATGGACAAGGTAAGACATACGAGCAGCTTGTAGTCCACTTCCTAGTTTCTTCGGGTGATCATAAGATAACTTGTGAAGCAACTCACGTGTGCTACCACTCAGAGTTGTAAAGAGAGCCCCATTGCCGTCCATTACAACAAAACCAAACTTGTCATCAGACTCCATGTTTCCCATCTTTAAGCAAAACAGAACCTGAACAACAACACAGAAGCTAGTTAAACTATAACTGAAGTTGAGAGTAGAGAAATAAAATCATAAAGCAAAAATCAACTGAGGATAAAAGATCGAATCAAACCAAAAAGCCTTGATATTCATAAAGCAACCATATTCATAAACAAAAAGACATGATACTCAGTTGCAAGTTAGCAATTCTTTTCAATACTTATATAGAAATCATTATGCATACCCATGTCATGTGAAAGACGAGATGAATACTCAGAAACTCAGCAAATCTAAGACGATTCAACATTGATGCTCGGAACATATTTTGAATAATAAGAAAACTAAATCCCAAAATTTACAGAACTACATCCAACTCACAAAACCTAATTTCAATAGAATCAACACAACAAAGCAAACCTATAGAGATCTAGCCCTAACAATTAATTAGATCACACGATTGATCGACTGAACAAGAATATAAGACAACCCACAGAGATATAAAAAAAAGAAATAAAGAAAGATATGACTGAGATAAGGAAAGAACCTGAACGACGATCAAGCGAATCGCTCTCTTTTTGCGCGGCAGAGAAGAAAATATATATTTTCTTCAATGGGCCTATTCACTTCAATGGGCCTAAGCCAATATATTTATTAGGAGGTCCATATAGTTCGCTACGCTTTGGGTATATCGTTGGTATTTCAAGATAATGATTAATATCTTAAAACATTTTCGTTGGCAATCATTATATTCTTGATAAATGTTTAAGATAATAATTCATAGTGATACCAACGAAATACTGTCTCCCTAATGTCAAGATAATGATTAATATCTTAAACATGTTTTCCCTTGGTATTTCAACATTGCAGTTGTGACATATATGTGCGGTTTCAATTCTTGAATTGAATTTGATTCTAGATATTTATTGGTTTTGTTTCTGATATTATGCAAATATGTTGATTCTAGATATTTATTGGTTTTGTTTCTGATATCATTTACGAGTTATCCATTTAATTTATGTAATTGGTTTATTGATTTGAGACTCATTATTGATTATGAAAATTAAGACACATAGATTTTGAAATATACACACACATGGATTAAAACCTCAATAAATTAATAATATTAAGATCATAATAATCTATTAATTTTGCCGTTTTAATTTATTTATAGAGATATTTTTCTAATTTGGTAAAATTTTCAAAAAATATATATTTAAAAATAAGATTTAATAGCCATAACTAATATTTAATAAAATTCAGTTACAAGGAAATAACAATTATATATAACGTTTTGAAAGAGAACACTAAAAATTCTGATAAATCCAAACCGATACAACAAATATTATTTCCTACCACGTTATTACATGTACATAAAACTACAGATATGGAAGTATGAAGATGCAAGAAATCTGCTGATGAAGACTACTGTTCAGATCTTGAGCTATTGTGACAGTTTGGCGAACGCACGAGATTAGTTTATTAGTGTATGGACTACTCACATTTTCCGATCCACTAGACTATTTTCATCTTCCGATCCACAATTTTCCTTATGAAGTTCTTATTATATCTGAAGATGAAAAAGTTGGTCAGGTGGCTGAAGAGACTAATCCAAAAAAATATAAATATGACTTAGAAGATGAGAATGATTTTAGATTTTTGGAGAAGAAGATTTGAATGATATATAGAGTTTTGAGATTATAGCATCCATATTGGTGGGTATATTTGAAAGTTTCTCAACTTATAATAATGAAAAAATGTAAAAATAACATAAGAGAGGGAGAGAAATTCTCCCTGAAAACTCCAAGTATCTCCATGAGATACCTATAACACATTTGTCTTTGTTTGATTAGCTCAACTATTTTTAAAATTAAAGTTTAATGGAAAATTCTCTTAAATACTACTAAAATACAAAATTTTCTAAAAAAACTACAAAACTAAAACTAACGTTTTTAACATTTAAAACTAATTTTAAATCCAAAACATTAAACCCTACCCTTTAAAACTATATCTTAAATATACATAGTCAAATTAAACATAAAAAAAAACTTGACACCTTTCAAAAATCAGAATTTTATGTTTATGTTATTTTTGGAAAATTAATCTTTTTGATATTTTTTGGAATAAAATAAAAATTTACGTATTTTTGGGAAAAAAAATCTTAAAATGTGCTATCTATTTCTCAAGTTTAATTATCTAATTCAATCAAATTTAAAATAATTTTATTAAATTGGTAAGAGCTCTATTGAAGCTTTTACTTATGGAGATGCTCTTATTAGTCGTGTGCATATGATTTAGTGAGTAAATTGTTCAATTTCTGAGATCTGAGTGGTGATTGTAAAAATTAATTTTTTGGTTCCTTTTCTTGTAATAATAATAATGTAGATAAAGCAATTAAAGTTGTCACTGAACTCACAAGTTTTGCCTTTTCTTGTTTCGGTAAACGACCTTAGTATTTTACGCATGATTTCTTTTTCTTATAAACGAAAATGTAAGGAACTCATATACTTTTTTTAACGATCATGTGTTAAGCAAAAATCAAAACGACAAAAATTTTAAAACTACAATGCTTCTTCCTGTTGTTCTGTCTCTTGCTGAGAAGCAGGCTCATATTTCTCGCCCTGCCAAACCCACACAATATCTGCCACTAACCCCTGATACTCGGGTCTAGAGTATCTCCATCATATTTCTTCACTTCCAATAGATGAAACTTTGGAGTAGCTTGGAATATTTATGCATCCGTCGATATATAGAATCCCTTTTCATCCCTCTTTTTTAAAAGTTCCAGTTTGAACAAACCTGCTGCTCTTCTTATGCTCTGTTTTAATCGTTGTACCACTTCCTCCAGCTTAGATATGATCACTGAAGCAGGTTTCTGGGATGTGAATCTAGATTCTCACTTGTTATACACATCTCCAAACAGTCATTACTAAAAAGAGTAACCACTTACCTCTTGTGTGTCTCTACTGTTAGTAACAGGTTTGTTCTCAAGTGTAATATGCTTCAGCAAACTGATGGGCACATCCTTCACAATATGCCATTTGAGGGGAAAAGAGCCAGTCCACTTATCCTGTTGCCAGTACTCAACATTTTTGTTGAAATCAACTGGTCCGATCATATCCGTAAGCCCAACAATAGCTCAGCATTGCAAAACAAAACATGAAACGAATTAAAAATTAGGTACAAACCGAGAAGAGGAGAAACACAGGGCAGCTGCCAGATTTTTGCTGAGCCTCCTGATATGCAGCACCAAGCTACCTGTTTCCATTTGGGTGCTAGCCCAAACATTATACTTGATAGTCTTACGCACATAATTTTCACTATAAGACTTGATGATAAGAAAACATAGCATCTTTATACGCTAACTGGAAAATCTTCTCTGTTGTACAGTCCCTGTTGTTATATTTGATTGGAGTAACAAAATCTGCAGAGAGATCAAAAAGTTCAAAAATTGTTTCTTTACCTTGGCTGAGGGTCCTCCAAAGCCCTTGCCTTTGAATCTAAAGACAGATTCTACAATAGATCAGCAGCTTCTGAAAAAACCAAGGTTAGTCAAGGAAACAAAACTCGAATCCTTCCCATAAAAAAATGATTTTTTCCAATCAATTCATTCACTTTGCTAGTTTCAGGAATACTCAAAATTCAAACACAACAGATGGAAATGACATCATTAAACTATATGAATCCAATTAAAGCGATAACGCAAGAAGAATTGAATTAGATAAGAGACAAAGGAAAACGATACGGTAGACATGCGAACAGACTCAAAAGTGGTTTTGTTCGTTCCCGTCGATTCAAATGAGATACCTCCAAGATCCCATTTTTATACCTTTTGTTCTCACTGATTCCAATTCCATTGTTGTTCTATCTGGATAAAAAGGAGCAAGGAGTAAGGCCCAAATAGGCCCAATTTAAAACGGATCAGGATCCGGAACGTTGAATCCAACGGACGAGATTAACTCAAAAGCTTCAAAGAGGTAAGGGAACGTTAAAAGCACCCTTCCAAGCGAGAGTAAGGAGATAAACCTACTTCCTTCTCTTCCAGCTCCCGTTTTTCTTATCCGGAAAACCAAACTCTTCCGGTGAAAAAACATCTCCTCTGCTTCGTCGCTCTACTCACTGTTAGTTCCTTTATCCTTATCTCTTTTAGTGGCACAGTTAAGCCTCTGGCATTTTCAGTGGCACAGTTTACTCTGTCTTGTTTTAGCTTTTTAAAACACTTTCTGGAAAGTGATAATTCATTTCTCCGATGTTTATTTATGGGTATTTTCTTATAAACATATATCTCAGATTGTCAATTGTGTTCTCTGAGCTCTGCTTTGAAAGGTGTCGCCTTTCTTCTGTTTTGTTGTGAAAATTCATTAGTTTAGCTTTACTGGGTTGTTGTTTCTAATGGTTATGGTGATTTTGTCGACTATACATCGATGAAAAGGAGAGTCTTTATATAAATATATATCTTTGAAATAGTTATCTAACTGTTGAATTGTCTGTGTTTGAAGTGAAAATATGGCATCAACATTCACTGCCACGTCTTCCATTGGTTCAATGGTTGCTCCAAATGGTCACAAATCTGATAAGAAACTTATCAGCAAGCTGTCTTCAAGCTCATTTGGAAGGAGGCAGAATGTGTGCCCTAGACCCAGAAGATCCAGCTCTGCAATTGTATGTGCAGCCAAGGAATTGCATTTCAACAAAGACGGCACTACCATAAGGAGACTTCAAGTCAGTACCTGTTTTTTATTCTCTTCATGGAAACTCTATTCCTAGACATTTACTGCTGGCACTAAAGGTTTGCATTTTCTCCGGTTTCTACCTTTGTGTTGCATTAGGCTGGTGTCAACAAGCTCGCAGACCTTGTTGGTGTTACACTTGGACCGAAAGGACGAAACGTTGTTCTTGAGAGCAAGTATGGATCACCAAGAATTGTTAATGATGGTGTGACTGTTGCAAGAGAGGTATAGAATTGTTATTACCTTTCTCATAGTAATGTTTTATTTTCAGTCAGATGTGTCTTATATTTGGATTC